GCAAATGACAAATTGTCATTCTTCTTTGTGGCTGAGTAAAGTTCCATGGTGTATAAATACATTTTCTTAATCCATTGGTCAGAAGTGGGGCATCTTGGCTGTTTCCATAGCTTAGCTATAACACTAAACATGGGTGTCCAGGTGTCTTTGTTGTTACCTAACTCATATTCCTTCAGGTATATCCCTAGGAATGGTATTGCTGGATTGTATGGCAGATCTATTTTTAGTTTTTTAAGGAAACTCCATACTGTTTTCCATAGTGGTTGTACTAGCTTACATTGTATAGCTATATTAAACTAACAAAAGTTTCATTATTTTATCTTTTACAAAATCAGAACAGAAGCGTGGAACAGGTCCTGTCTGGAGGGGATGGTACCAGTGGCGGTGGGGGGCGGATGTGGGGAAAAGGTGTAGGAGGGTGAATATAGTGCAAAAATACTGTGTACACATGAATGTAAGTGGAAAAATGAGACCTGGTGAAACTATTCCAGGAATAGGGGGAAGGGGGGAATGAGGGAGAATGGTGGAAGGGGTGAATTCAAGTTTGATATATTGTGAGAACTTTTGTAAATGCCATAATGTGCTCCCAGCACAGCAATAAAAAAAGGAAAGAAGAAAAACAATAGTAATGTGCCTAGAAAAGCTTTCCTTCAGAAGTAAGGGATAAATTATAACTTTCCAGAAAAACAAAAGTAAAGGGAGTTCATCACCATGCTAAAGGGGAGTCCTCAATGGTGTAAATAATACATAGCATATCCAAAACACTCTAATATTATAAGACTATTATGTAAGGAAATTTTATCCCAACTCCCAGTGTTAACAGATAAACTAGTAAAATAACTATAGCCACAAAAAATTGGTAAATGATACAAATTATTTTTTAAAATGTGAAATTGACATCAAAATATAAAAAGTGGGAGGGAGGGAGTAAAAAGTATAGTTTTTGTATATGATTAAAGTTATTATTATCTTAAAATAGCCCATTAAGAGGATAAGATTTTTATGTAAGCCTTGTAAAAATCTACAGTATTACAAAATATAGCAAGAGAGAGTCAAAGCATATGATTCTAGAAAACCAAAAACACAAAGGAAGATAGCAAAAGAGAAAGAAACAAAATGCCCACAAAATAAAATAGGCAAAATAACTTACAATATGACAGTAACAAGCCAATACCAATCAATAATTACTTTAAATGTAAATGGATTAATTACTCTTATCAAAAATGCATCAACTAATATATTTTAACAATAAGATATAGCAATATTAAAGTCTATTTTTGTCTCACACAAGCATATAAGAGGTTTAGTTAACCCTCCTGGTTTCTGTTTGGATGGTATATCATTTTCCATTTCTTCACTTTCAATTTATGCACTCCTTACGAGTAGAGTGAGTTGGGCAACATGGTTAGATCTCAAAACATGCATGTGCATCAAAATTCTGATGTCGTTTTTCACAGAAATAAAGAAAAACAATATTTAAGTTGATATGGAACCACAAAAGAAATCAAAACCAAAACAATCTTGAGCAAAATGAACAAAACTGGATGCATTCCACTCACTGATTTCAAACTAAATAGTCATCAAAAACTGATGACTATTTCAAACTAAATAGCATGGTACTAGCATAAAAACAGACACATTTACCAGTAGAACAGGATAGAAACGCCAAAATAAGGCCATCCATTATGGTCAATTGATTTTCAATAATGATATCTTTAATAAATTGTGCTTGGAAAACTGGTTATCCGCATGTACAAAAATGAAATTATATCTCACACCATATTCAAAAATAAACTCAAAAGAGATTGAAGACTTAAATAAAAGACTTGTTGCTATAAAGCTGCTCAAAATGGATTAATGACAAGTATATGACCTGTTGCTACAAAGATGCTAGAAGAAAATAGGAAAATCTCCATGACATTGTCTAGGCAGTGATTTTTGGTTTTTGTTTTTTATATAACCTCAAAGCACAGGCAACAAAAGCAAAAATAAACAAATGAGACTGCATCAAACTAAAAAGTTTCTGCACAGCAAAGGAAACAATAGAGTGAAGAGACAACCCATAGAACTGGAAAAATATTCGTAAATCATATCCAAAACATATGAGGTGATATCCAAAACATATGAGGAATTCTTAACAACCCAACAGCAAGAAAAACAACTGGATTGAAAAGTGGGCAAAGATGTGAACAGATGTTTGTTAACAGAAGATTACAAACAAGCAGTCAGCATGGAGAGAATACTCAACATCACGAATCATTAACACCAGGTGAGATGTTACTCATTAGAGTATCAGAATGATTTTATATTTTAAAAAAACCAAGATATTACAAGTGCTGGTGAGGATGCAGAGAAAAGGAAACTCTTGAACATTATTAGTGGGACTGTAAACTGTCATAGAAAATGGTATGGAGGTTCCTTATGAAACTATTGTATGACCCAGCAATATATATATATGGATATATGCCCAAAGGGAATGAAGTCAATACAGTGAAGGGATATTTTCTCTTCCATTACTCACAATAGCCAAGATATGGAATCAATCTCAGTATTGATTAACAGATGAACAAATAAAGAAATGTGATAATAGAAACATAATGGAATATATTCAGCCTTATAAAGAAGGAAATTTCATCATTGTGACAATGAAAATGAATCTGAAAGACATTATGTTAAATGAAATAAACCAGACACAGAAAGACAAATAGTACATGATATCACTTATATGTGGAATCTAAAAATGTGAAGTACATAGAAGTAGAGAGTAGAATGGTGTTTATGAGAGGCCAGGGTGTAGGCAAGGAGGGGAAGGCAGTGATTTAGTCAAAGAGCACAAAGTTTAAGATAGAAGTAATATTTTGAGATGTATTACACAGAGGGTGACTGAGCTCAATAATAATGTAATGAGAATTTCAAACTACCTAAGAGAACAAATATTTCACCAAGCAAAATAAAAAAAGGCATAGATATATTTGCTTGATTTAATAATTCCACAGTACATACATCTATAAAAACATCATAGACAATTATGATCTGTTCACTGAAAATAAAAAATTGTTAGAAATAATTTTTAAAAAGAATCAGTAATCCTAAATTTTATATATAAATATATATTTATATATATATATATATATATAAATGGATGAAAAAATTTTAAAGAATCTAAATTTTTGTGTCTATTATAAACATTTTGGAAATTTCCAGAGACTCTAAGCCCATGAAATTATTTCAGTAGGATATGCCCATGTCCACCTCATCAGTTTCAGAGACAGGTCTGACGTGCAATCCGCCCACCACCTGAGAACTGGGGTTTAGTGTGAAGAAAAGGGCCAGTGGGTGTTATTTCCTGCCTGATGTTATTGCTTTTAGCAATATAGTTGCACTGAGGTCTGTGACTTCCAAATGCATATGCATGCATTTGTGTGCACGTTTGAGAGTGCAATTCATAAAACATAACCTGAAGTAGGACCTGTCCAAATCCATATCAGAATGTACAATTTTAACAATATCAATTGTTCATCTCTTTTAAGGGAGCTGAACTTCATCATGAAATACCTGGTGACATTTGCTGTCAAAACCCCACAGAAGTGAAACAAAGCTTCCTTTTATGACTGTCATGGGACCTCGGGGTTTAGCTCATATATGCAACATAAGCAGAGGTGGTGACTACTGTGTGGCTTGTACCCAACTGCAAGTGTAAATAGTGCTCAGGTTCACAATCCTCACACATTCACGTGCATCTTCTACTTCATCTGAAGTAGTTGGAGCAAAGTCTGTTTTACTAGCCTAAGAATAACCCATCTAGACAGAAGAACATCTGTCATCTCAAGTTACAAATACTTTCAACCAAGGGCCATTTTGTTCTGAGAGAGAACTGAAAATAATGAACAGAACGATTGGATTTCCTGAATCACCTCATTTTTGAAATTATGAAATTATCATGCTTCTTAATTTAGAATTTTACTGTGGCCTGCATACTTTGGGTCACTTTTAAAATTCAAGTGTGAGACCAGGGCTACATAGTCTGCTCTCTCTGTACACTTATTTATGTAATGAAAATAATAACACCTGCCCACCCATCACCATGGACTATCAAGAGTCAATGAGGAAATGTTTTCTCACATCGTAATAGTGGCACTCCCCGAAGTCTCTCATTATTGAGTTTTGATTGCATAAAACCACCAAATAAACATGGCCTACTTTTTTTTTACTCCAGGCAGTGGAAAATCAAAATAATATATTTATATTAGCAAGCATATATTTTATGAAGACAAATTTAAATTTTTGCATGATTTTTAAAGGCAAAGGATTGGACTCCAAACAGTTATTGGGATAGGAAGCAACTTAGATTCCAGTGGGACTCTGTTGGACAGTATACATAAGCAGCATTTATATATCTAGCAGCACTTGGAAAAACTACACAATACAGTGGAATGTGAAATGCTTTTGCTGTGGAAGTTTGCTCACATGCAGTCTGAAAGCGGCACATCATTATGAAACTTGCCTTTGTTCTCTTTCTCCCTCAGCACTGTACTCCCTCCCCACTTTCTCACCTGTGCAAAACACTCATCACCCAGAGCCTTTCTGTGTTTTTCCTAAAATCCCTCTTCTTTGAAGCTGTTTCACTCCTCTGTTTCTTTCACAGTCATTGAAGACTTACTTAGAGTGCTCCTTCCCCTTAGCAATGGCCATAGCTCTCCCAAGACAGTAAATGAACTGCATCCTCAGATGTTGGAAGGTTTATGTCTTACTGTAGTTATAGTACTCTTGCATATTAGAATTTCTTCTGTTTTTAATGAAAAGAATGACCCTACTAGTCTGAATGCCAGTCTCTGCATTCTGAATGCCACTTCAGAATGTAAGTCTCTTGCACAGTCACAGGGCCTGCCATTGGGTAGTGGTAGACCTCAGATTCTCAAACTACATTTCTATAAAGCACTTATTGAGATGTTACCATAAAAACAATGCTTGTTCATCAATTTCAGACACTTCACTCTTACCTGATACCAGGTCATCTCTGGTCTTTGTGCATCACTTTGACAGCTGACACTGGGACAATAAATGGAGTCAGTGGTACCAAGATGTAGGTATTTCTTATGTGGCACAGAGTTCTCACAGAATGTATTTGTCTGAGGTTTAACTTCTAAGACTATCTTGACACAACAGGCCATATCCTGGGGGCTCCTAGGAGATTAATAAGGTCCTGTGAACACAGATATTTTATCTAGGTAATAGGCAATTTTAGAGTGCTTTCAGCTAGGGATGCATTTGGGACATACCTAATCCTGGGTCTACATATATATAACCCGGAATAATTCATCTCTGGGGTCAAAATATGAAGCATGCTTTTTCTCTGAATGACATGAGAATAGCTGTTAGTGATTTCCTTTACTGGCTCTCCATTCTGAGGTTGTAGGTACCACTGGACATCAGCCAAGTCCTTACTACCACTGCAAGACAGGTGTTCACTCCTTCTGTGAGAAAAATGTGACTTCTGCAGCTGTGGTAAATCACAAAACAACACAAACTCCTCACTTCTTGCAGAGTATATCCAAAGGAGTTTTTTGGTGGAACAGCCTGAAAATCACAATAAACAAAGCAACATAGAAACACATTGAAAGGTGCTAACATATTTACAAATAGTACTTTATATAACAAAGGAGTATGTGTCTATCTTATTGACTATGCCCATTTTATAGAGAAAAGAAATTCATGATCTAATTTCCTCCCCACTGGCTTCCACATGGCCAATAGAACTTTGGCTTCCTGGGAACCATAGTTGCACCACAATTCATTCCTCTTCAACCGCTCCCACCAAACACCCAGCTGTGGTAACTGGGTTCTTCAACAACGCTTGGTATCAACTGAAAGCTATGCCACCCATTAATTCTCCTCTACTCCCCTTTTAACAGTGGAAAAGAAATGTTGTATATTAATAGGTCACACTACTGATATATCAGATTATCAGACCACAAGACTCAAGTGTTAAAATGAAAAGTGAAAACCCCTACCTGAAATATCAAATCCTGTAATTCTGTGTCCTGTAACAAGCCAAAGAAATAGCCAGTCCAAATAGAGCATGGTTCTCCCTTGTTCCTGTCATCACTTCAGAAACTTTGTTCTGTGATTAGCATAAAGTGCGTGGAGATTCAGATCTCTTTCCTAAGCATCCTCTTCATTTCTAAAATGGGAAATGGAGAAATCATACCAGTGACCAAAATACAAGTCACACAGGAAGTATAGAAAGGGCAGGTCCCACCCAGGCGAGCCTCCACATGCCCTGAAATTGCATGGGTATCTGCAATGGTGTGAAGCAGTCTTTCCCCATGTGTCATTTCTCACACATCCAGAGGAGGAAGAACACCTCAAGCTCAGGGTACCCCTTGGACATGCCCTTCACTGTGTTCCTCTAATGCTATATTCCTCTCTGTAGAATTCTGTTTGCTTTTAATGTTCTCATCTAGTGTGTATATTTCACTAGCTAATTTGAAAAAGAAATTAAGTTTACATTTTCTTAAAAAGATGGTCCAGGTTGTATGAAAATATCAGCCTTTTCACAGTTAGAGACAGATCTGTGCAGAATCTAAAAATGTCTGCATGGTACTAGTTTGTAATAACTATTAGACAAATCAGAACAGGGACGTTGTCACTGGATGGCATCACTGCCAATCCTCTCAGTTATAAAAGGGGAAGCATGTCTCCAGGAGAAAGAAAGTAGTCAGAGCTGGGCTGTGTCCATGCTGCATTTGTACCTTTTGTTGATAGGGTGGCCATAGGAACTTTCAAACAAGTTATAAGGAATCAGAGACAAGGATATGGAGAGGGTAATATTTGATTATTAGTTTTGTTTTGAGCAGAAAATAAAAGTGTTTTGCCATAGAACAGTTTTGTGTGCTTCTTGTAGAGTTCTTAGTTATTATCATTAACATAGAAATAAACTATGTCTTGCTGTTGGGCTTTTAGTACTAAGATAAGTTCCCCTGAACGTAGAGGGATGAGGATGTAGCTTAGTGTCACAGTGCTTGTCTAGCATGTGCAAGATCCTGGTTTGATCCCCAGAACCACAAAAAAATATGAATTAATTATTAACAACTAGTTTCTCTAGCAGAACCTATGAACTTGAAGTGTTTGAGGATTTGGCTGGAGCATTCCTGGGGGTGGGGGGAACTCAAAGAGGGGTCTGGGTGACAGCAACCTGACAGAGTCTAAGCCATGGGGACCCTTAGCCCCCAGAGTGGGGAAGGACATCAGCGTTTACAGCAGGTCAGGGCCAATGGAAAGTAAAAATGACAAACCCACAAAGAAGAAAGGCAGAGCAGAGAGACCACCCTAACACTGAGGACAGACAAAATTTGGAGGTGAGACTAGATACAAACATCAGAGACTGCAGATGAGTCGGGCATGAGAAGGACTGAACACTATGCATTTGGCATGGCCAAGAGATCAGCAAAGGCAACTAGAGTGAGAGGATGGAAATCTGGAGGTGAAGAGAGAGCAGAGAAGGAAAGCAGAGAGGGCAGAAGAGCCACACTTTCTACCAGCCGCACTGTGGGAAAAGGAGAGGGGTGATGTCTGCACATTACTTGAAGATGAGAGAGCTCTGGGCATGAGCTCTGAAAGAGGAATGAGTCAGCAGAGTATTGGATTAAGAAGCTTGTGAGTGGACCCATTTCTCCAAAGAGGCCAGAAGAAATGGGCTATCGATACCATGGAGAGTTTCACCTTGGACAGGAGCCACACAAGTGGAGCTGGCCTACACAAGCCACTCTGCTCATGTCAGGGCCACAGAACAGAACGTTTGCACCTGGCTGCTGAGAGTGAGGATGTTCTCCTGGTGGGTGAACATGGATAACTTCCATGCACAGGGACTTGGGTCACTGTGTTCTTTGTCCCCATTGGTGACAATTGATGGGTTTTTTCTTATTTCTTTTTTTTTCCTTTTTTTTATTAGCCAGGACTGTAGTCAAGAAACTAGGCAGAATGGAGTCTCCTCCCTGACCTTCTTTTCCCTGAGCCACAAAGCCCCTGACAGAACAATCTTCCACATACAGAGTTGGCAGACACATCTCTTAAAAGAGTAAGGCTGAATGCGCTTACCTGGCCACAGTGAAAACCTCCCCAGCCACCACCACTTGTAGGATTGAGAATTGATTCCAAATTACCAATCTTAAAGCCCTGGAGGACTTGGCTCTTTCATGTCTTCTCTCTGATGTCTTACTCAGGAGGCCTTCCCTGTCTACCTGAATCACAAAGGCCCACTCTGCTCCCTCCTTGCTATGGCACCCAGACATTAACCATTATTCTGATTACTCAGAATGATGTTATTTATGTCTCAGCAAGCCTTCTTATCTTAAAATCGCTCCTTTTATGTCTTGTTTTGGTTTTGAGATAGGATTTCACTCTTTAGCACAGACTGGTCTCAAACTGTAATCTTCCTACCTCAGCCTCCCTAATGCTGGGATGACAGCCATGCCCAGCCTGAAAATATCTCATTTTCAGAGTTTTTTAAACTTGCCAGCAGAAATTGAGTCTGCTGTTCCCAGTAAGCCCAGCACTCCCTTTCCAGTAACAGCACCAGGTTAGAAACAGGAACTCAGACTGTTCCTGACTACAGTGGAATTATGGTAACCTTACCCTCATCCTCCCATGAAATTGGGTGCTCTTTGAGAGCCAGAAACCGGTTTCAGAAATCATCCGACCTTAGGACAATGTTTAATACAAATTAATTCTGTTGACTGAATAAATGAAAAATATCACAGGAGTAGTCAAAATAGATGCATATCAATCTATTGTGACAATTCACTTAGCTTAGCCCCTCTCTGAACTTTAGTTTTCTTCTCTGCAAAATAAATTATTTGAACGATCTTAGCAGTCCACCAACTATAAAGGTGGACATAGGAATTAGTATTTCTGGGAGTTAACCGAGAAATTTGTTAGTTTGTTTAAATCTCCCTGACAAGTGAATTATGTGACTAGATGACTGCTAAGATGACCCCAGATGGAGCATTCTGTGATTCCATGTCAGAATACCCAAATCTGCAGCAAACTGGTTACCAAAATACCCAACCCTTAGGAATTCCCATCCCTACCTTGAGATGCCACACACTTCCCCCCCAATCCACACACAGACTGACCTCCCAACTCAGGCCATCTGGGGCTGTTTCCAGGCTGCAACTTTGCCTCTGAGACAGTGTTTCTCAAATTATTTTGATGATAACAACATCCTGAAACACTTGTTATAAATGCATACTTAAATACTTTTCAAAGTCTTATGAAATCAGATTCTCAAGGAGCATAGTGGAATGTTCATTATAACCAAGGGTGAATGCCACCACCGTGATCCATGAGTTACCTCTGGGAAGCCCTGCTCAGGGACAGGAGCAGAGCTTGGGAAGGTGGACCTGTGTTGACTTACAGTAGCTGTTGCCACTGTGGGCCACAGAACAGCACAGTGAATGACTTGTTTCTCAATGTCTACTTTTCTAAGACCATCTAATGTCTAAGTTCTGCCTTTCATTTCACCATCGCAGAAATGCTTCAGGGAGTCAAAGGAATCATGCAAGTGCAGAGCCTTGGGCAACTCAAAGCAACCCAGGCTGTAGACTCTGTTCTTGGGAGTAAAAGGGTAGACAAGTGACACCAAACATATCAGTCATACTTCTGGTCACACTGGGAAAGATACATATTCTCTTTTTCATTTTATCAAAGGACAACGAAGGTTCATATTGCTTGAGTAGTGGTCCCCTTTCCTAATGATGATAACATTCCTGTTCAGTCTTAGAAGAGGGACTTATATCCAGATGTAGAGGGCCTCAAAGCTTCTGATCTCACCATTACCACATGCCACCCCTCACAAAAGATGACAGCCCAACAGGGTGACTTTGGGAATCTTCAAAATCTCTTCCCCAAAGTTTTTTCCAGAAGTGCTTTTTGAGAAACCTATTTCTTTTGTCAGAGAATGAAAACTTCCCTGCAGTTACTCATAGACACAGTTTCAACTGTCTTTGGAAGAATAATCAACTAAAGTTTCCACTGGCCAAAACTTTTGAAGGGAATAGAAAGAGAAAAATGGTAAAGAAGCAAGTCTGGGGTCCTAAGGAGAGGATTCTCACTCTTAAGAGCATCCTTAAAACACACATACAAAAAAGAGATATGTTTTGGTGTAACAGTACCAGTACTTAATTCAACTAAAGATTATTATGATTCTCACATGGTCCATGGTAGTTTTATACATTCTTAACTAAGGATAACTGAAAACAAAGTCTCTAGCGCTGCCTTCAAAGATGTATGGTCAAGTCAAATGGTCATTCCAATTTGTCGAACATCTCAAATCAAGCTACTTTTAACCTTTCCATAAAACATTCAAAGCACTGTAGAAAGGTTTAATTATAACCACTGTCTTTTTAAAAAAAAATTGAAGGCTCCATATACATAGAGATACAAATATTGCTAAATAGAACATCTGTTATTCTAAACTATTTCATGAAAAATAATTGCAAAATTCATTTTGAAAATTATTTAACTTCTTTCCTGAACTTATATGTGGGGTTAGGAAATCTAATAAAAATGTGCTCTTGTCTTACCTTTATTTCCTGTTCTTAAGACATAAAAAATGAGGAAGAAAACTTCAAGTCCTTATGTCAGTGACTGCTGGCTTTATAGCTGAAGAAAAGCATGTGAAAAATATCCATTTTCACAGACTTCTACTACATTTCTTCCTAACCAATGAGGTACTTGGAGAATATTCAAGAGCCATGTAACTCACACAGTTTGGAAATAATGAGTTACATCTGGACAGAGAATGAAAGCCTTTGAAAATCTGCAAATGACTCTCGGCATTGTGAAATGCATGTTCAGATAGAGGACAATCAAATGACCACTATCTGTAGAAGGAAAAGCCCTGAAGATGGAGCTTCAAAGCTCTTCTCTGACCAACCTCCTCAACAAGAAAAAGTTTGTGGTTGGGTTTAGTTGAAGGGGTGAGTAAGCCTGTTTCCTTTACAGGAATTTCCTGTATAGAATATTAGCACTCAAGTCAATTTCTCAACAGTGGAGTTCTATTTTTTTTTTAAATAAAACTAACCCACAACATTGTAACCTTTAAGATCAAAGCCTAAAAGCTTTCTTATGATTAATTTTTTAATTCTCAAAATTCCAACACCATTTTTATGAAACATAACTTATTAATAGAGAGGGAAATTACTTTAAAGTCAAAAACCATTGAGATTTTGTTGTCCCTACATATCAAAAAGAAGCCCCAGAATATAATATAGAATTAATAACTCCACTGCAATTAAAACCATCTAGTACTTAAAATGCTCGAGACCACATAGTCACAAAGAACTTTTTCTAGAAAGCATCTTTGCTAAGCATAGATATCATTTTCCCTCAAGAGTCTAATCTAACATTTTTATTAGATTTCCTAACCCCACATATAAGTTCAGGAAAGAAGTTCAATAATTTTCAAAATGAATTAGTTTTTACTAATAAAGATAAGACTGATAGGACTGAGCACATCAAAACTCTAGGGCTATCACTGCAAATAGCTAGAGATCACATAAAATGCAAATGGGGACCAAATTCACTTTGGGGTTAGATTAGATTAAGTATTTACCTGAGGTGAAGAGGACTTAACATGGAAGAGGATTTAGCAATTCATAGACAGGGTTGAGCCCCCCAAAAATGTATTCACATTGGTCATGAACCTACCTATGATTCAAAGAGGATGCAAGGTTTTTTAAAGCCTATTGCAAGAGTGGTAACAAGGACAGTGGAAAAGACATGCCAGACATGTAGAGCATATGTGAAGACCTCCCAACAATGGTGATAAAAGAGATCAACATTTCTACAGAAAATTAGGCAAAAGGTAATTTGGGACCGGCACTCATTACATTGCTGATAGGAATGTGAGTTTGGCAGTATTACACAAAATCACATATGCATTACCTCTGACTAAGCAATCTTACATCTAGGAATCTATCTGAAATATATTCTAGCAAAAAGTGTGAAAATATGTGTGCCTAAGACTATTTTTTATAACGTAATTTGTAAAAGACAAATACTAGAAACTGTTGGGACTGGTTAAATAAATTTTACTACAACCACTCAATGGTGTACCAAGTATCTGTATAAAAGAATGAGAAATAGCTTCATATACAGTTATGGAGTGCCTACTAAAATATATTCTCAAGTAAGAAAATCAAGGTAGAAAAACCATATGAAGTACCTACCATTTATCTGTGAGAAGATGAGGGGATATAACTATTCCTGAATATTTATTGATATTAAAATACAGAAGAATAAGTCAACATTATTTTGTAAAATGTTTACCTATGGGGAAGAAGTAAGAATGGGTTGGGAAAACAATAGAAAAGAAATTTCTCTGCATATAGTTCTTTTTGTTGATTTGATCTTCAAAGAATATACATATTTTTGCAATAGGAGAAAACAAAATAAAATTCAAGAACCAGTCTTAAAGAAACAAAGCAAACAAATCTAATCATATTGATTTAACATAACCACAAAAATAAGAATAATTTCACTGGGAGTAGACTTTTATGCATGTGAATGATAGCAATGTAATACTGATAAAAGTAAAGCTTGTAGTCCTGAATTAACTTGAACTTTTGGTACTAATTCATGAGTCATTTTATACATGTGTGTTTACTTTCCTTTTCTTGCTAATTAAAGCTTAGTCCCATTGATGAACCAACTAAGAGTGAGCAAAGACGGGCACAGATGGCGACCTCTGAAAGAACCATGGCTCTGTGGATAGCTGACTGAGAAAAAGAAAAGCCCAACTCTGTCTGGAACCCTTTCTCATGTTAGAAATTCCACCTCACCCCTGTTAGAATAGCCATCATTAGCAACACCACCAACAACAGGTGTTGGCGAGGATGCAGGGAAAAAGGAACCCTCTTACATTGTTGGTGGGAATGTAAACTAGTACAACCACTCTGGAAAAAAATTTGGAGGCTACTTAAAAACTTAAACATTGATCTACCATTTGACCCAGCAATCCCACTCTTGGGGATATATCCAAAAGACTGTATCACAGGTTACTCCAGAGGCACCTACACACCCATGTTTATTGCGGCACTATTCACAATAGCCAAGTTATGGAAACAGCCAAGATGCCCCACCACTGACGAATGGATTAAGAAAATGTGGTATCTATACACAATGGAATTTTATGCAGCCATAAAGAAGAATGAAATGTTATCATTTGCTGGTAAATGGACGGAATTGGAGAACATCATTCTGAGTGAGGTTAGCCTGGCCCAAAAGACCAAAAATCATATGTTCTCCCTCATATGTGGACATTAGATCAAGGGCAAACACAACAAGGGGATTGGACTTTGAGCACACAATAAAAGCGAGAGCACACAAGGGAGGGGTGAGGATAGGTAAGACACCTAAAAAATTAGCTAGCATTTGTTGCCCTTAATGCAGAGAAACTAAAGCAGATACCTTAAAAGCAACTGAGGCCAATAGGAAAAGGGGACCAGGAACTAGAGAAAAGGTGAGATCAAAAAGAATTAACCTAGAAGGTAACACACACGCACAGGAAATCAATGTGAGTCTACTCCCTGTATAGCTATCCTTATCTCAACCAGCAAAACACTTGTTCCTTCCTATTATTGCTTATACTCTCTCTTCAACAAAATTAGAGATAAGGGCAAAATAGTTTCTGCTGGGTATTGAGGGGGTGGGGGGAGGGGGGGTGGAGTGGGTGGTAAGGGAGGGGGTGGGGGCAGGGGGAGAAATGACCCAAGCCTTGTATGCACATATGAATAATAAAATAAAAAAAAGAAAGAAAGAAAATCTTAATGATTTGACAAAAAAAAAAAAAAAGAAAAGAAAACCACAGCAACATAAAAAGGAAATGATGCAAACACAGAGGTGGTGAGAAGGACTCAGCCGTCAACTTGAGAATGGCCACAGAGGGACAATTTGAGGCTTGGGGGTCACTGTTAATTTGGTTAAACGTAGCCGATAACATTGTAGATTAATGCCTACTCCTTGGTGACGCTGGGGTATTTAATATCAATGTCATAGTACAAACAAACTCAGCAAAAGGCAGTGACACGGTGACACAGTGAGGACAGGTTAAACAGGGGAACTCTTTGCAATTTTGAATCTGGATTGCAGATATTTGGATATTTGTTCTGTTTCCTTCAACTCTGTTTCACTTATTTCATAACCAACATTTAATTTTTTTTTTTTGGCTTTATCTCTTTTTTTTTTTCATTTTTCTTTTATTATTCATATGTGCGTACAAGGCTTGGTTCATTTCTCCCCCCTGCCCCCACCCCCTCCCTTACCACCCACTCCACCCCCCCTCCCCCCACCCCCTCAATACCCAGCAGAAACTATTTTGCCCTTATCTCTAATTTTGTTGAAGAGAGAGTATAAGCAATAATAGGAAGGAACAAGTGTTTTGCTGGTTGAGATAAGGATAGCTATACAGGGAGTAGACTCACATTGATTTCCTGTGCGTGTGTGTTACCTTCTAGGTTAATTCTTTTTGATCTCACCTTTTCTCTAGTTCCTGGTCCCCTTTTCCTATTGGCCTCAGTTGCTTTTAAGGTATCTGCTTTAGTTTCTCTGCATTAAGGGCAACAAATGCTAGCTAATTTTTTAGGTGTCTTACCTATCCTCACCCCTCCCTTGTGTGCTCTCGCTTTTATTGTGTGCTCAAAGTCCAATCCCCTTGTTGTGTTTGCCCTTGATCTAATGTCCACATATGAGGGAGAACATATGATTTTTGATCTTTTGGGCCAGGCTAACCTCACTCAGAATGATGTTCTCCAATTCCATCCATTTACCAGCGAATGATAACATTTCTTTCTTCTTCATGGCTGCATAAAATTCCATTGTGTATAGATACCACATTTTCTTAATCCATTCGTCAGTGGTGGGGCATCTTGGCTGTTTCCATAACTTGGTTATTGTGAATAGTGCCGCAATAAACATGGGTGTGCAGGTGCCTCTGGAGTAACCTGTGTCACAGTCTTTTGGGTACATCCCCAAGAGTGGTATTGCTGGATCAAATGGTAGATCAATGTCCAGCTTTTTAAGTAGCCTCCACATTTTTTTCCAGAGTGGTTGTACTAGTTTACATTCCCACCAGCAGTGTAAGAGGGTTCCTTTTTCCCCACATCCTCGCCAACACCTGTTGTTGGTGGTGTTGCTGATGATGGCTATTCTAACAGGGGTGAGGTGGAATCTTAGTGTGATTTTAATTTGCATTTCCTTTATTGCTAGAGATGGTGAGCATTTTTTCATGTGTTTTTTGGCCATTTGAATTTCTTCTTTTGAGAAAGTTCTGTTTAGTTCACTTGCCCATTTCTTTATTGGTTCATTAGTTTTGGGAGAATTTAGTTTTTTAAGCTCCCTATATATTCTGGTTATCAGTCCTTTGTCTGATGTGTAGTTGGCAAAGAAGAGAACCATTTTAGAAAGCATGTGATCTACTTCTTACTTTGCAGGGAATAGCTTCCACCCAGTCACAGCTCATCTTCTCATAGTACTTTCATTCATCTTTCAACTTCATTCTGCATATTGCACAAACCATCACTGAGTATAAATGTATAAGATAACAGAACGTTTGGGAGGCTTTAAAGTGCATTCCTATGCCACACGTATTTCTAAGCAAGCCATTTACCTATTAATTTACCATTTTAGATTATTGTTCTAATTTACTTTCTCTCCAGCAGGTGGTTGTTCTTCAGGCATGTTTTAGAGGTTATATTGGTCCATATTAAGTCTGGCTGTAAATGGTATAGAACTTAATATTTGTGGCTTTAGTCTATCTCTTTTTAAAGTCACCCTACGATCAAGATGGCTTCTAGTTAACTTCATGTGCAAGTATTAGAAACAAATGTCTTTTCCAGAAAATATTTTAAATCTAAGGATATTGTCTTACTGGCCTCGGTCCACTGCCACCCCACTGTCCCTTTCATCTTAATAATGGCCACTTGGAGAACATTCAGAACAAATGGCTTGGATAGGAAGGCAGCTAGCTCTTTAGTGCCTTGTGTACAAGTGCTTAGAGAACAGTGTCCAGTACAGCCTTCTGAGAAGAGTGCCGTTCAAATGTGCTGCCCAAGGTGGTCTCAGTTAGAGGCACAGAGGCAACCGATGATTTCATCCCTCAGCAACTCTATGCTATGGGGCTATTAGTCAGCTTGGACTGCACACGCTTTGGTTTCCTGATTGCATGGGTTTCTTCCTGTGGCAAGATATTGGGAAGATTAACCTAGACTTGGATTCTTCATCTCTCTAAACAAGTTATCAATCTAGTGAGAGAGGGTTATGCTCATTACATCTAAGCTATGACCTCTTCACAGGGTGTTCTATCTTATTAAATAATACGCTACTTGAGACTTCAACCTACAGAGTAAACCAAAGCAGTGTGGCTACAGCTTCAGTGTTTGGTAGAGTCAGGAAAAGTGGGGTAGAGGGAGGTGCCTAGGGTCATCCCTCAACTCTCCATTCACCGTCTCGGGATGGTCCTTGAGGCACTCCCAAAACACAGAGTGTGTCTGTTAACATGCTCATTATTAGTTATTAAGTACACACACTATGTTGCAGCAATTGTACAAACGAGGTACGGGGTGCTCCCTGAGTGTATATGTACATCCACAAGACAAGGCAGAGGAAATTGCAAACAGGTTCTGAGAGCCTCACACAGAGAGATAGGTGCTTCCTCAAAGTGCCTGGCCTGGACTCTGATCACTGTCAGTGTAGCATGCAGATGGGGCAGGAAAGGCCCCGGGTCCTACCCATAGCACACATGTATGCCGTATCCTGTTAGGTCTGTGGCTTGGCCAGTCTTTGGCCTCCACTGCTAAAGGGCCCACCTTCTGTTCAGAAATATGACTTCTCCTCATCACAGCATCCTCCCTCACAGGTGCACCTAGGCAGGGGTGACAGGTTATTTCCTCTGAGCAGATGTGTGTGTGTGTGTATGCATAGGTATATCAGTTGAGGCAGTCCTTTATAACATTTTGTTCATGCCCCATTTAAGGGCATTGGAAAATGTTACCAGAACCAATGAGGCTCCAGGGAGGAGGGCCCCAAAAAAGGAGAAGACCTCTATCTGGTCCTTGGATACTAGGTGTCTGATACTGTCACAAAAAATTTTAGAACACATCAAGATAGAGACTAAGAGAATTTATTAATGAAACAAACCGGAATATGTCATGGGGGCAGGCACATCTGATAACAGGCACAATGAGTGCTCTAACATCAGGGGTATTTATGGTGAAAAAGTGGGTTGGAAGTTTGGTTTAAATTTACCATACCACGACGGCTCCCTTGTGTTGTTACACCTGGCACATTCAGTCATTGTCACTGTTATACTGTTTTGACATTATTAATTGGGTCCAAGAGATATCAAGTCTAATCAGTTTATGAAATTTGGGTCACTGTTAAGATGGGATGTCAGAGCATCCCTTTAATTTTATACAAATTAGGGAACTTAAAACCTGCTTTTGCTGAGAAGCACTGCCTCCTTACTTGGGCCCAGGAATTAAGTAAAGGCAGGCACCAGTTAGTTGATTGTAACACCTCTTGTCCATAGGAATAGAAGGAATAAATTGACAGTGGGGAAAATGTAACTGGAACTACAAAAGGGAAAGACTTTTGGTGTAGCCAGCTTGCATGCTGGCCAATTTACTCTGCTTCTTAATCAAACTGACATTTACTCTCCTTTTTGACTACATGCTGGAGAACCCAAGGTTAACTCCCTTCACTCTTCAATTAACCTAGGCAGTCTTCTACCCCTTATCCTTCTCTGACACCAGACCAGTAAGCCTGCCAGCCAGGATATACAGCTTTGGAGATGTGGAGCGAGCACACCTGGAGAACTAAGCCCAGAGGACACGATGAACTTGTGTCATCATGCAGTCACGCTGAGCCAACTCTCCTTTAAAAGGTGGATATTTTCTCTCAAAGGTAGTACAGAGCTTTGAGAGGTTGGTTTTCCCTGTCTTTCTCTTCATCTGATGAATAACAAACCTTATTTTCTTTTCCTCAAAACCCTGCTCTCATTATTTGTAGATTGTGAGTCAACATTGAAGCCAGGAGACCAGTTTTCAGATAATCAAAGAACAGGTTCTTCCAGATGCTCCTTTCAAGACAAGTGCCCATCCTTGAGATAAATATTGTTCTTTACAAAAAATTTTGTGATCAAGAGATTAGTTTTACCAAACATTTTCGTGGGGCAAGTGTCTTTATTTAAGATATTTTTGCTTAGTTTCCACAGCATACTAATTATTTGAGCAAGTGAGCAAGGTCAGAGGGAGAGGAGAGCTGCTCCCCTTTATTTTCTTTTTGTTTTTTACCATATGTTGTAGCCTAGTGACAGGATGTGAAGCTTAAAGCAAAGAAAACTATGCCTATGTGCTTTTAATCAAGCTGTGCATTAATACTGCTGCTATTCCTCGTACCTCATTTCACCAGATGTCTCCTGCCTCAACATCATGGAAGAGAAAGATGTTCAAATATCTGAGAAATTATTTTTGACCCTGGTTAGGAATATTTTTAACCCAAATTAAAAAATATGCACATTATTAGCTGGCATATGAAGACCTAGCACCTGTAAGTTCCTGTGTTTACTATTGTGTGGCCTTGGGAGACTGGGAAGGGAGTTCTTCCTTTGCTCCTGGATGAAAGATAAAGTAAGAAGGTAGATGCAAAGCAATCTGACATTAAAAATGATAACTGAGGGGTTCATTTCGAATGTCCCATATCTTATTGAAAGAAGTGGGAATCATTGAAAGTGAGGGACTGAAATACTTAAGTTAATGAAAAAGAAGGCAAGAGACATTTTAAAAATAAAGGCACAAAGCCAGACTCTGGTGACTCATGCCTGTAATCCTAGCTACTCAGGAGGCAGATCAGGAGAATCACAATTCAAAGCCAGCCCAGGCAAAGAGTTCACAAAATCCTCCCTTGAAAAAACCCAACACAAAAAGAAGAGCTAGTAGAGTGGCTCAAGGTGTAGGCCCTGAGTGCATACCCCAGTACCACCAAATAAATAAATAAATAAACAAATAAATAAAGGCACGAGACCAAGGGTTCATTAGTTTATTTCAATGTATTCAAACTTTTTAAAAATGCACATCTGTTGTAATCATTTAATGCATTTAATGTGAAATACATTTAATACAAAATAAGATTAATGTGCTTCAAAGTGTAAGAAAAAAGTAGCAAAATCTTTCTATGTACTAGAGACTATTATATCAATAGGATTTCTCGTTATTATATATGCATACCCATATATTTTTACATATAAAATGTAAAGTATTAAATTCGCTTAAGCTTTTTAGCCAACTGATTAGTACGCAAAATCATTATCGCTACAAAAATTCAAGCACTTTCCTACACAGAAACTCTCATTCTGCTTAGATTTTCTGAAAAAAAAAAATGCACTGCATCTGTTGCAAACAGCTTCTGCTTTCAACTTCATTGGAACATTCATGCTGCACCCTTAAATTCTGACAGTTGCAAACTTATGTGGCCCTTCCTCTGTAAGGCTGCTGTTCATCCCTCAGTGGTTTTCATAGTCAGCCATCATGCTGGGGGCCACAGAGAAAGCCCAGGGTGCTGGGCTCCCTTTGGGGAGAAACTTCCTCAAAACAAACCAGCCTTCCTCTCCAGATCTACTTCCCTGTGGCCCTGTGGCTTCCATTTGCTCCACTGCCAAGTCACTGAGCTAAGTAACAATTAATAATGATAATAATAATAATAGTGGAACACTTAGTGTGGACCATGCAAAGAACTGTTATAAACAATTTAATTCTATTTATTCACTTACTTTCTTGTGAGGTAGGAACAAGTATTACACATTCTGACTTGACAGATGAGGAAACAAGTTTGGCACAGACAGGTTGATAAGGTTCCTCAGGTCAGAGAATTAAGTGACAATACCTCAAGACTGGAGCTCAGAATGGGCTGCACAGTCCAGAGGCTCAACTACCAGACCATGCTGTCTGCATCTTAAGGGCATTTTAAACATATAATTTCAAAATCAAACAAATATCTAATGTGATCTGCCACCATCCTCAATAGGAACATTTATATATCATTAATAAATGCTTTAGACTACTAAAAGTGAAAAACCCAGTGAATTTTCTGAATGAAAATGGGTATCACGCCTGAAAGATACAAAAGTACTTGAGGTTCCCTTTAAAAAGTCCCCATGAATAGGTCTGAATGAGCAAGCTGTGCAGTGTCTTACTGAGGCCCTAAGAGCTACCGCCTTGAAACTGTGACTGAGAGCGTTGGAGACATCCTGAAGCCAAAGGCCTGCTTGCCATGGCCTCTACCAAGCTCCCTACTCCACACACAGCCTGGCCAGGCCTCTCCTTCCCCATGCCATGCAGTATTTGCAGCGTTTAGTGATTCCTTGCTATTGTAGGAGAATAAGGAAAGCGTTCTAGTGACTCTGTCACCTACTGGGTAAGCGAAAATGCCTCTTCATACACTTCAAATCCTCCAGTTCACATTAATTGTTGGCATTGAAAACTCTTAAGGAGGCCTTCTGTAAAGCAGACGTCAGTTTGCTTTACCTCGCCTGGCCTCATACTTGCTGAATATGAGATTGGTGTGGGTAGCTGTGTGCAGTAATGAAGAGAGAGGAAAAGGATGTCCACTCCTGTTGAATTGCAGTCTTATCTGGAAGCACGAGACAACAGCTCAAGGTGTTGTCTCATCCCTGATGATCCAGTGACAGATTTCATCTTCAGATCTTGAATAAGATTTTCATAGAGTAAAAATATTTTTCATAACAGGCTTGTTATGAACAGGCTCACACACGTGGTCCCCAGAATTGCTAGCATTCCTTCTGACATTGAGCTTCTGAGGTTCAAGGTGCTGAGAGAACAGGCAAGATTTCTGATTCTCCTTGACCTGGCTTGATGGTTTTTGCAGGCATCAAGTAAAGAAGATTCTTCCAGAATCTTGAGTTGTAAGAAAGAGTCTCCTCAGCCTTCCACCTCAGAACTCGGTGTGACTTCAAAAGCTCCAGTGACTGAGGCAAGAAAGTGAAGTCACTAACAGGTGTAAACTCAATTAAGATTATTTTAATTTTCCTCTCCACCAGTGCTTCATGGAGTTCACTCTCAAGTTCATACCTGACTTCATTGCCAATGTAACTTTTACTTAAGACAATGATGAGTCTTCGGCTTTTCTCTATCAATGAATGGATTTCATCAATAACAGCTGAAAATTTAAGATGTGCCATGAATTTAATTGAACTGACATGAAATAAAAATTATTTTGCACTGTCTTGTTTTAAATGATTTAAGCTTTTGGCAACACTAACAATTTTTCTTTAAAACACGTCATTTATTTTCAGTTTTATATGCCTATTAAAAATGACCATCTAAGTAGAAATAATTAGTATATATATATATTTGCATTTATATATACACATGTATCATAATAATGACTGTAAAAGAAGGTTTTATTATCATCCTCATTTTACAGACAAGGAAGTCAAAGCACAAAATATAACTTTCCCAAAGTCACATAGCTTGATGGCTTGGCCAGAAACTGAACCCCAGTGGAATATATTATCGTAGCCATCATACCATCTTGCCTCTCCACATGCATGGAGGAACATTCTAAAATCAAAGTTCTAAGACTGAAAAACAAAAAACAACAACCAAAAAAATAATAAACTATACCGGCCATTATTTTAGACCAGAGACTGGCAAATGTTTTCTGCAAACAGCCAGACAATATTTTAGGCCTTGCAGATCACACCATTTTTGTCACAAGTATGCACTCAGGCTCCAAAGCACCACAAACAACTCCTAAATAAATATGGTGGCTATGCTTCAGTAAGGCTGGCCAGTTAGAGTTGAACCAGGGGTGGCAGTTTGACAAGTCCTATTCAGGACCCTACAGAGTTCAACAAACGTAATTAGAATTGAATAAACAAATATTCTTTAGTTTTACTTAAGAACGTGGAAGAAATATATTTCTAAAATTACTCCTAGAATGTAATGGAAACAAAGTAAAATTGATGTAAAGTCCTGGATACGTGCTTTTGGAAGAATGACACGCCTTCTTAGATACCAGGAGTGCCACACAAAAACCCAGGACTGCATTCATCTCTTCTTTAGAGATAACATGGGATGTTACCAAATTTCTTTGATTTCATCTGTGATCTGCCTCAAGATATGTGCTATGGCTGTTTGTATTTAAATATTCATAAGAACCCTTGAATTCCATAATCACATTCAATCACCAAATTTTCCTTATTTATCCTTTCTCAATGCTCCTACTTTCCACTCTACCTTTATCACCGGTTTCAACACCATAAAGTACATGCATTTTCTAGAAGAATTACCCTATGTATTGTAGAACAAACATCAAGGATTCAACAAAGAAGTGGTTCTGAGGAACAAGTACTCTTTCTGCCACTCATTTCTAGACCAGGTCATCACAGCGATGCCATGAACTTGGTTCTGAAAATGAATATCCAAAATCTTTCCCAGGGCGTCAGACAACCATAATCTCCAGGAGAAGTCCAGGAGAACAGACTACTGGATTTACAATATTGAGCTGTTTATTGCTATTGAATAATGTGAAGTAATCAGATAGTGGTTAACCATACTAACATGGCTAACTAATAACCAAATATTGACTTATCTGGTTATTTCTTGTTTAAAGGACCTTGTTCATTATTTTGAAACAAAATGGGATAGCTAAATGACTCACTGTTTTGTTTTTTTTTTTAAAAAAATCTCCACTAGTTTTCCATTCAGCATTTCCTTTCTTACCTCCTCCAGGCACTATATCTCTTTCGAATATGCATAACTTATACCCAAAATGTTTCTCCAACACTTTGGGCAAAGTCTCCACAGCAAAAGCATACTCTTCTCCATTCTCAGGGTGACAATCTTTAAGGTAAGACACAAAAGCATCATATGTTTTTCCATCTAGGAGAAAAGGTTGACTCTTAATTAGTGTGTAAGTAAAAGTTTTTTAAGTAAAATTTCGAGTGAAATTCATACATAATGATAGTAGAATTATTCTCAAAGTTAAATGCAGTATTGTTAAGTCTTAAATGTTAACCAAGCAATGAATTAGGTAAACATCTTTTAAGCATCTGCTTTAAGACTCTCACTGCTTGATACCATAGAGGGACAGACAGAAATGTAAGATGTCAATCAGGGCACTAGAGGACTGGAAAGACAATAGAAGGCCAAGGAGACCAAATGTGACCTTGTTCCAGAAATGAGAAGCAAACCTCACCTTCTCACTTATTTCACTTAATTCTATCATTTTTATTATAAATTTTTATTAGGATGTATTCATTATACAGGGGGGATTCGTGATGACAATTCTGATTAGTCTTATATTGTACATTATTCACATTACCCCCATTATCTCTCACCCTCAGCCCCCTCTCCACCCCACTTAAAGCAATTGCACGAGGTTTTCAGCTCTGTTTCATATAGGTACATGAAGTCCATCTACCATCTACCATCACCTTAGTCTCCTTCTTTCTATTGTTATCCCAGTCTCTCCCCTCCAAAAGACCCCCTACAAAATAATGATAGAAACAAACTGAGTCTACATGCTGCAGAGTGGAAGAAACAATAGCAGCAATGGAAACAATACACTAGAGGAGCACACACCATGATATTTGAAATATTATAGGGTATCAATGTCAGCAAAGAAATCTTCTGGTCCACAGAGAGCTTTTCAGTAATCCAAATGTCTGCTCCCACTTAATTCCTGATAATGGAGAAGTATTTAGATGGCTCATGGAAAAACTCAGAAGGAAGTGTGTTAGCTAAATAACAAGGACCATTCTCAGTAACCTACTGAGTAACTGAAAAATTATGCAATTCTCTCTTTAGTTTCATCCAATCTATTTGAGAAGACAATGGAGCACAGCCACAAGAGGAGAAGAATTACAAACAGCACAACAACAGATGAAAATAGCACAACACAGACAAAGCAGATGAACAAAATAACCTGGCCAGAGAAAGAGGAGGAACCCGATGAACATGCTTTCCTAAAGTGGAAGACTTTGAGTCAGGTCCTAAATAGTGCAACTGATGCTAATTGGGGTAGACAGAGGAAGAAGGGAAGTGGTAGGGGAATGGTATGCCTTTAGCACACGAGAATTGGGTAGATGGTCAAGGAGTTAGATTTATGCCTAGTTACACTATCATAATTAATACATTAGTAAATGTATTAATTATGAAATAGATATGATTGGACACTTTAATAAAATATAACAGGATGAAACCATACTAGGGCTGCATCATTTGGGTGCCATATCATTTATATCCATAGGTCCAATCCAATGTCTTCAATAGCATTCAGGTTCACAAAGCAATGCTTTGTAGTATTCTGCTTAGCAGTTTGACTCAGAACCTACTGCTGATGTAAAATAATTGCTTTGCAGAATTGCACATCTATGGAAGGTTGGGAATACTGGCAAAGATTGCAGAATTACATGCATATTTAAGGTAGGAAAAGGGCCTGCAGGAGTAGTTCAAGGGGTAGTGTGCCTGCCTAGCATGCGTGAGGTCCTGGATTTAATCCTCAGTACTGCAGGGTGAAAAAAGGGAGGGGGGATGTTGGTAAAAATAAAATCAGTCATTAGTTTAATCAGTAAGTAGTTTCCCTGGATGATTCTCTTAGATTAAGGAGAAATATGGCTACTTATTAGGTAAATAAGAGCTGTTTTTTTAGTTAATTAGTATTCTCATTATGTCAGTGACGAAAACAGGCACCAAGAGGTAAGATGACTATGGGTGCACATTTTTTTTGTAAGCAGGATGTAAATGATTGCAAGAAACTGGGAAGGCAATTAAAATATGGATTTATAGTACATGTAATGCATTTTTGTTCTTATCCATGAAAAATTACTTTTTCAACTATTAGCTGATTTCAAATTCCTCATTTCAAACAGTTTTTTTCTTGTAATATAAATCTACTAATTTATATTACAATTGACTTTAAATACAGGCATTGAAAATTCAGTGACTTTGAAAACTGACAAAAGTCTCAATATAAGAAATTTGAAAGCTAATGATAACTTGTTTTGTTCTGAAAGAAGGAAATAGCATTCTATGAATGGATATTTGAGGTAACAAGGAGAAAGTTAGACCAATGTAACTCAAACTGTGTAGGGTGAATGGCCATGTGTTAATTTAAAAAATTTTTGTTGGATTGGTTAGTTTCATTTCCAATCCTTTATAAACCAATATTGAACACACTCTTGGATAGTTTAGTAGCACATAAGACTGCTTTAAAAGTGTTATTTTTATACTTATATCTCAATTTCTGCCTTTTTCATGGGCTGCATCTGTCCAAGGACCACCATTTGAGTAGAAGTGGCCTAGAGCAGATCATTAAATGTCTCTGTGCACTGTTATTTTGAGAGCTAAAAGTGTGAATTGAAAAAATTATCTGTAAATCAGGTGAAACACAACTGGAGAGGTGAAAACTTTTAGTTGAAAATCAGAAAGAAAAAGATTAGTCAACCCTGAATGAGATAAATGCTGTTTATGCAAGCAGAGACTGTGCATTTCCAATTTGTTACATCTCACTCCATAGTGAGATCACACATGTGCACACACACACAAGCAGTCTGAAAGCTAAATTCCCTGGCATTGCTAATTTTATTACTATTATCATTGAATTAAAAGTTATAAATATGAAAAATTAATTTGTAGAAATCTCAAGGGAGTTAATGATAATTCCTTTACACCTTGGGATTAGGACAGCCTTTGTATTTATCACCCCAAACCTAGAAGCCAAAACAGTAAAGATATATTTGAATCTTTCATATAGCGTACTACAATACGCAAAGCCAAAAGACAGATGACAATGTGGGAGTGTTTACATTTCACATTATAGACAACAGGCTCACCTCTCTACAATGTGAATATATCCTATCAATAATAAGCATAAAAACCATCTGCTCATTGAAAAAAATAGGCGAGGCATCTGAACGGGTGTGTTGGAGAAGGAAATTTAAATGAGTATGAAACAAATGAAAAGTTGCTCATGCTCTTGTATAATAAATGAAATGCAAATTAAAACTATTTAGAGGCACAAGTTCACACCTATAAAACTGGCAAAAATCCAAAAGGTTGTAGGTGAGGCTACAGGAAAAAATTTACTGTCCTTCTTTGAAGATGGTACAAAATATACTTAGTATGAAGGACAAATTGACAGCATCTAACAGAGTAACAGCTGTATCTGCTCTACCCTTTATACTTCCTAAAATTCCACTGTGGGGAATTTTTTTGTCTAGTAATACTACACATGTATAACACCACTAATCACAGCATTTCTGTAATAACAAGATTGGAAACAACCCAAATACTCATCAAAAAGAGACGAAGTAAGCAGTGGTACTTTCACTGAGCAGCCCTAAAAAAAAATAAAGGACTTCTTTATAAAATACTATGGAAGAATATCTAAGAAATAATAAAGCAGAGTTAGAAACAGTGTGCATAATAAACCGAGATTTGTTAATAAGCAGGAAGAGTGAAGAAAGAATTCACACTACTATTTGGCTGGATGTGATATCAAGGAGAAGAAGAGTGAGAATCCCAGACATGGGACAAGGCTGGGAGGGAGATTTCCTACTGTATGATATCAAGAGATTTGGGGTTTGGATTAAGTGAAATTTTTTTTCCTACAAACACTCAAACAGATACACACATAAACAAAAGCAAGAGCAATAGATTATATTGATTTTAAAAAGTTTGATAATTATCTCTAAACTTGATGGACTTCTAGTCTCTTTCAAACATAGAGAAACTGAGGCACAGAGTCTCACAGACATAAAAGTAGTTAAAGTCTGACAGATCCAGAAGATTTGAACCTAGGTCATCTGGTTTCATGGTTTTTCCACGTACAACATACATCCTTTTCCAGGTTAAAATAATGAACCAAAATACAACACAATTCGACATAAATGGAATTTATTGAGTGTATGTAGTGTATTAGGGATGTAAGTGATGTGTGTACAAAGACCTCCAGATATATAATTCCTGAGCTCAAACACTGCACAGGGCATTTAGGAAGACATGGAGAACACACATAAAACAATTATAGAAACAATTTGGCAACACACAATAAACACAAGAAAAGATCACACAATATTCAACAAAAATGGTGCACACAGAGTCATTTTTTCATAAAAAACTTCTCCCATAGATTATGCAAACAATATAAACAAAAAATAAAGGTTATTGCTTCTTTACTGCACTTAATAGTGACAGCATAAAAGAAGAAGACCCAGCATTATATCTGTTACCTGTTAAGGTTTCATCTCTTCCCATTAAATGTCTATAAAACAGAACCAAGTCAACTCTATAAATGACACACACAACCACCAGGCACACTACTGCCACTGAGATCAAAACTGATATGATCATTCCTCTCATGAAGACAGGGTTTGAAATATCAGTTGAGTCTGTTAGAGAAAGAAAAAAATCACAGAAATATTATCAGTGACTTTACCCTTTGTGTTATGGTTGTCAGCTTTTGCTTTCCTGGGCACTCCCCGGGATCTCCCCAAGTGTGTCCACATTCCATCAGGCCACTCACACTGCTGCTGTCAGCCTGCAGCACTGATCTTCCTATTTCAAGTGGGAAGAATAAAAATGTGCCAAAGGACATTCAGAACTGAAGTCATGGTAAGGCATTGTGTCTGCACTTGGAATTCAGGTTTCTGTGGCAATAATATGCTAAAAAAAAAAAAAAAAGTCACAGGATTCAACCATAAGCTTCAGCTTAGAGACTGAGAAAACCCAGAGAGGCACAGAGACAGAGACTATTTAGGTTTGCGGCCTGGATCCAACACTTAGTGGGTATTGTAGGGAAAAACATAGTGACTCCTAAATCTTACTATCTTCATCTATAAAATAAATGAAGTTCTTGCTTCACTTACAGTTTGTGTTGGAGAAGAGTAAATGAAATATTACACATAAAATAGTTAACACAGTGTCTGACACACAGCATAAAGGATTTTAGTCCAATTATGGTAAAGACATGCCATCTGGGGAAAGAATTACACTCCCTAAATTGATTCAGTTCAGTGGGTTACGAATAAACCTGAGGTGGTAAAAATGAGTATTGAGAATAAACTAATTTTTATTGCCATCCCACTGAAAAGTTTTTACTTAGTGATCATATGGTAATCACTATTTCCTCACATTATATTAAGATCATTTCACTAGATCATTAAAATTGTAATTTATAATATTCCAATATTTAGGTTAATTGCAATTTTTCATATGCACACATAATGCTGAAGTGATCATATATGTTCACAATTATCCATAGTTTTGCTTATTTACTTAAACTGATGCTAACTGGAGGGGGGAGCTGTAGATCAAAGAACATTTTGCCATCATAGCTAGCACAATTTTTTGGAATGATTTTTCCCCAAAATAACTCTTCAGATACAAGTAAGCAATTGTAGTTACTTAAGTGAACTCGGAATAGTCAGGCCTTGGGTTCCCACATCTTTGAGATGTGTCAGACACATATACACACCCAACATGCATATGGGCACACACATTCCTCCAGGGGAAGGGTGGGCTGGGAGACCCCATTCTCCAGTGTGCATGTGTGAACTCAGCATAAGGAGAAATGAACTGGGCAGAAGCTTCTCGGGCAGTGACAGGACATTCCTACACAGAGCAGGGGGTGGCTGGTTGCCAGCAGTGGCCAGAAATTCAAGCAAGGCAATGGATCAACCACAAACAAAAGATTTGAAAGCCTCTCCCTCAGAAGTGCATGGACCATGGCAGGCACTCAGTAGGGGGCAAGGGAACACCTCTGGCAGCTCCTGAGGAAGGGAAGAGCACAGATTCTTGAGTTAATTAGCTCTGGGGTTCAATACCTTTACTGGCTCTGTGACTGTGGGTGGATTTCTTCACCCACAAAAGCTTGTTACTTTTGAGACTGTATAAAACCATGGAAAGAGCTTAGCACAGAGCCTGACACAGAATTGTCAGCTAATGAATGCTAGCTCCTGTTGTCATTGCACGGGAGGTGGGGGGGTAATGGCTTCCAGTCAGGGGAACTCAGTAAGATGTAAATCACACTGGGATGGCACACACAGTGGGGTGTTTCTGCCCTTTGGCAGACTGACCTTTTTAGAAGGGTATCCAGTAGCTATCTGCTAGGTTTCCACAAACTTCGCAGCATGAAACTTTCATACCTTTTCTCAACAAGATGAAGCTCTGGATGTCTGTGCTTCCCTCATTTGTCACAGTACAATTAAATAAAAAGTTTAGATTTTTTTCATCAACTTTCTTAATTCTCAGTATTATTGAAACGTGCTGTTTGCCTTCTGAAATCCTGCAATAGAGAAAAATAACTTAGCAGTAGGCTTTGTTCATGGCCAGCAAATTTACCTATGATAGCAAAAATCATGTGTCTAAAATATCCAAAGAACATCATAACATTGGCTGTATTATATCTGCCCTTTCTATGTGTGTGGTCTCTCTGCCCCTCTTTATAAAGCCACCAAAATTCAATCATGGAGGCTGTACTCTAATGACCAAATCCAATCTAATGTAATCACTCCCCCAAGGCCCTCCCCTTCAATATCAGGGTTCCACTCTCTCCATACCATAACAAGACTCTGGGGATAGACTCCTGTAGAAGTTTGGGGCATAAATCACATAAAAATTGCAGCAGCTATAAATTGTTTAGCACAGATGTAGATTCATGCTGAGGGGCAGAGCCTTGGGGAAGTAATTAGATTAGATTGGATTGGATCATGAAGTTCTGAAGATTACTTTCATTTTGTCAGGCATTAAAAATATTATTCTTAGACACCACAGGCACATGAGAAATAGCAATTAAGCTATTCAGCAAGCAGCAGAAGATAACTCGAGACAACCACTGAGCAAGCTCAAAGGGTTCAAGCTGTCCTATTGCAGATGTGAGACAAGCACTCATGCTGATGCTTAGGTGTTGGGAGCCCCTGCATGGACTGGCTCTGAGTGGTCCCTGCAAGCTGGGTGTGTGCCTAGACTCAGGTGACTCCAGTACATGGGATGTGGAACTCCACTGTCTCAATTACACCTCAAAGCATATTTCTGTACAAAAATCACCCATCCAGAAATATCAATCATCCAAAACCCACAAACATCCAGAAGTGAGCTCTACAAGGCCAATGAGAAGCCAGAAGGACATTGCTGAGAAGAGATGCTGGCACAGGCCAGGCAATTCAGCTGAATTCAACACTTACTGGTTCTAATCACATGCTGACTCTCAAGGAGCCAGACCTTGCAGTGCAAAGAGCTTATGGACAAGTGTCAACAAGAATTGAGAGCTACTAGTACGCTGGTGACAAAGAATATACCAAAAAAAAGTGTTAAAAAGCAGGAAAACATTGAAAAGTGCAGTAGAGTGATTTACACTCTACTCTGGAGTGATTCAGAGATCCTGAGTAGTATGTAGTGTAATAACTAATAATCACAGTCTGATCTAACTAAAGACCTTCAGGAAAGTTTAAATGGCCATCTCTGTAGCATGTTTTGCTTAATAGTCTGGCAATCCCTAGTGTAAGAACATTATTTAAGTATCAATATGTGTGTCATTTGGAACTTTTGTGGCATGTTGGTAAAATAAAAGCATTTAACACATCTTTTAAAATCCAAGAAGCCCAGCTAATTATTCTTATATAAGAAACCGGGTAAAATCCCACTTCTAACCCTGACTGATAGAAGTTACATGTGTAAGATGGTGCTAAAAACCCTCATTGATCTCCTCATGAACCATCCTTTTACAAGTTTAAATCCTGACAATAAAATTCTGCATAGTTCACCAACATATGGTATAAAAATTATTTTCATAAAATCAGTAAACTAGAATTCCAATTAACCCAAAACACTACCCCAGCCACTCAGAATTCCAGCATCATTTCTGTCATACAGATGATGTGATTTTTATATCATAGATATGATACTTGTTATACATCACATATGCATACCAGGTTGTCTTTTCTTTCTCTTCATGTACATTAGTATATGATTCATTTTCTTTCCAGAAGCTCCAATAGATAACATCATTTTTGTTCGCCAAAGCAGAACAGTTGAGCTCTACATCTTCTCCTAGGTAAGAGTTGGCAATCATAACCTTGGGTTTAGAAACTCAGATTTCCCAAATGTTTCAAATTAATATAATTATTATATGTTAATCTACTGCAAGTCAGAGTACCACATTCCAGAAAGAGAGAAAATATGTTCAGTTTTTAAATGAAAAAAAAAAAAGAAAACAGAGGAATTAAGTATCAATGACAAGCCACCACCAAAGTATGAATTGACTTTTATCTTTAAATATTCATTTTTAAATCAGTTATTGAAACTATGGTGGCCAGTAGACTGTCTTTTCAGTATATAAATTAGTAGTATTGTGCCAACACTTGCATTCAACTTCTAGAAAAAACAAAACAGGTAAGTAACCAAAAAATTGTCTAACAACTAAAGTCATCAAGGTGCATAAAAATAAAGAGAACTAGTTAAACTAAAAGTGTAGTGAGGATGGGAGAAAGTTCAAGTGTGAGTGATATGATCAAATCACCTTAACACACGTGTATGAGAAGTTCATAACAGAAAAAGAAAAAAAAAATGAAGACAGGAAAGACCCCTTCCAGGATGAGTAAAGATGGCTAGGTGTTTTATCTTGAGGAATCTGCTTGGGCAAGAGTCTGTAGAGAAACCAGAGCCCAGTGGTACTTCTGGCACATGCACAGCTTGCAGGACTGTGGTTAAGGGCTTATGCAGCACAGGAGGCTGTGATGCCTGAGTGGCGTCTCCTGGAATCCTGGGGTTCTTATTCAGCAAGAACATCCAGAGGAAACAGCCTGCACCAGACATGACTGCAGTCCTCTCCCCCACCCCAGCCGCTGGAGGTGCAAGGCAGATTGGATTCAACAAGGCTGCATCTCAGCCACCCCAACTCAGTTCTTTAGACCTTCTGTGTGTCAGCCACATAACCCATGACATGGGGATGATGTCCCTCTGAGTTGGTTGTAGAATTTGATTCAACAACATATCTCAGGGCTGGTGGAGAGGCTCAAGTGGTAGAGCGCCTGCCTAGCAAGTGTGAGGCCCTGAGCTCAAACCCCAGTACTGCAAAACAAAACAAAAAAACAACATATCTCAGACTCATGACACAAAAACTTTTTAAACATACTTAGCACATGCAAATTTATTCCTTTCAGCGTTTTTGTTGTTGTTGTTTGGTTTTTTTTTTGGCAGTACTGGGGTTTGAACTCAGGGCTTCACACTTGGTTAGGCAGGTCCTCTGCCATTTGAGCCGTTCCACCAGCCCTTGCTTTTCTTCTTGAAAGAAATTACTTAATTGGACTTGTTGACTCATAAGGCCTATTTAGTCAAATCCTAAATGTACAGTCAATTCAGTTAATTGGACAAATCAAATAAATTAGTCAAATGTTCAAATTATAAACAAGTTTGAGTCATCTCTTCAGAGTCAATTACAGAAATGTCACACACAGGGTGAAAGAATCCCTAGTCTTTTGAACAGCAGCAATAGTCAATGACATGCTTTCTCTGGTTCTGTAGTGTTCTTCACTGAACATGCAATGTGTTGTGCATACAATGTCAATCAATAATGAATCAGATTTACACATTGAAAATTCAATAGTGCCTCTTATTTCTAAATGTAAAAAATATATAGATTTTGAAATATACCTAATTCCACTGCAACATAGTTAGTCTTTGGTCCCAAAAGAACTGGATTTTTATTATTGAGATCTAAAAGTGAAAAGGAAGAGAAAAAGCATTAGTAATTCCTTGAATTTCTTATGACAAACATCTATTAAAATATGCTCATTCCATGTAAAAAGATTCTAATATAGTAGTTTCGCCTTCTCCGTAGTTTTGCTTTCTGCAGTTTCAATTAACCAAGGTAAGCTGTGCTCCAAAGATATTAAATAGAAAAATCCCAAAAGTAAACAGTAAGCTTTAAATTGCACATCTTCCTGAGTGTTCCATCCCACTCCATCCAAACCAGGATGTGAATCATTCCTTTGTTCAGCATATCCGTGCTGTATGCACTACCCTCCTGATTATGGTGGTGTAGCAGTGCTTGTGTTTCATCATGGCCCCCAAGCACACAACTAGTGATGCTGATAATTTTATTTCAGTATATTGTTATAGTTATTCTATTTTATTATTAGTCATTGTTGTTAATAGTTTTTTTTCTTCTTTTTTTTTTTTTTTTTTGGTAGAGCTAGGGCTTGAACTCAGGGCTTCACACTAGAAAGCAGGCACTCTACTGCTTAAACACCTCCAGTATATTCTGGCTATGGGGGGGTCTAGTGAACTAATTGCCTGGGCTGGCTGTGATCCTCCTGATCTCAGTCTCCCACATAGCTAGGAATACAGGCATGAGCCTCTAATGTCTGGCTGTTGTTAATATCTTATTGGGCCAAACTTATAAATTACACTTCATCACAGGTATCTATATACAGGGAAAAAGCACAGCATCTATGGAAGTCACTCTATCTGAGGCTTTAAGCATCCCCTGGGAATCTTGGGGCATATCCTTGTGGGTAAGAGGGATGCTATAGCGATCACTTTACATTTACTGGAGTTCCATTTTCATTAACTAAAGGAGGAGCTCATATTGTTCACCACCTCACTTTCCAACACCTGCACATTCACAGAACTGCTGAAAGCACCTTGAATCTGGTTTTCTCTCAACTCAAATACGTGGCATCTGTTCACTGCACCTGAAGTCAGAAAAAGATGCTCTTCTTAGAGAGACTGCTACTAGACCCCCCAAGAGGAATAGACATGCAGAACTTAGAAGATGCAAAGTTAAGAAACTGGGAAGTAGCTTCTAGCTCTACTCTGATTCCCTCCATCTTTCTCCTTGATCCTTACTGAGGGTGTAGGGAAAAATAGGGTGAGTCAAGTCAGGTGCCTCCCAGGCACCAACCCTTGCCTTGAGGATGCTAAGTCTTCTCCAGTGCCTCACCTGGCTCAACTTAGCCCTAACCCAGCTCTGGTGTCCACATCTGTAGGCCCAGCTCTCCCTCTGATCCTGAGCCACTCCTGACCCTGGCTGGAGTTCATAACATTCTTCCCCTCAGCTCTATCTAGGGATGCTTAGGAAGGAAAGCACTACCCAACAGCCTGCAATGAATGCCAGGGCACAGCCAAACGCAGCTGATACCCACAGAGCACTAGCAGTCATCATGGTCCCATTTACCAAGGAGGAACCTGAGGCAGAGCAGAGCTATGTAATAATTGGCCTCACAGAGCTGTTGTGAAGAGTGTGTGAGATCAACCAACTAAAGCAGTGTGTGAGTCCTCAAAGGATGTGCAAATTGATAACAGATGTTCTTATGTCTTCAAAGAAGGAAGGGAAGAGTGGCAAAGATGGACAGGGAAAAGAAGTGGTGAAAGGACCAACGGAGCAGAGATTTACATGAAATTAAAGCATATACGGGTGGGAAGTAAAGCTAAAGGTGATTCTACATAGAATTTAAGATTTTTGAGTTGAGGAATTCAGGTATGGGATTCTAAAGTCATGGCTATGGCAGGCAGAATTATAGCTCCCAAAGTTAAGACGCTCTAATGATCAATGGAGATAGGTGGAATGTCCCCTCCAAAACTCATGTGCAAACTTAATTATCACAACAATGGTATTAAGAGGTGATTAGGTCATGAGGGCTCTGCTCTTCAGAATAAATTAATGCCACTGTTATGGGAGTGGTTTAGTTATCATGGGAGTGGGTTCCTGATAAAAAAGATGAATCTGGCCATTTTTCTCTCTGTCTTGCACATACTCTCCTGCCCTCCCACTAAGTTAGGATGCAGCCAGTAGCTCTCACCAGCTGTGGTCCCTTGATCGGGAGCTTCCCAGCCTCCAGAAACTCGAGCTAAATAAATTCTTATTGTTTATAATTTCCACTCTGTGGTATTCTGTTATAACAGAGGAAATGGACATGGCCAAAGGGATTTTGTAGGTGTGATTAAGTTAAGGACCTTGAGGTGGAGAGATTCACCTGTATCATCTGGGAGGACCCTAAATGCAGTCACATATGTTCTCATGAGAGATGAGAAGCTACAAGAAAACATATTTGAACTCAGGAAAAAAAACTATTCAACAATCAGACATTCAAATCTGAGCTAAGCTTCTGTGTGATTTGGTAACTTCCTTGAAATTCCAAGGACTAGATATCCAATTACTGGCTGTGCCATATGAAGTTTGTCTTCATAGGGGGAGGTTCAGTTAAATTGCCTCTAAGGTTCCTGTCACAATAAAATTTTCTGTCTTTGTTTTGCCATTATACATAGTTTGAGTTCGGGGCAAACCAGACATGCCAGGTTCCCCTTCCCACCAGCCCACCTGTGCCTTTACACCCCCAGTCCACCAGCCCTTTCCCCAACAGGTCCTAAGCATTCATGATTCCCTCCCTCTAAAACCCAGCTCGAATGGAGTCTCCTGCACCTGTCCTTCCTCCAGTGTCACATCACATCCCTACAGCTTCATAGACAGCACTATTTCATATAATGGAACCTCTATGTGGCTTATATTCTCTCCAGATCATAATCAAATTCTTTGAGAATAGTATGCTACTCACATTAGTCCATACCTCCTTGCTTCCCTTGCCTCCCAGTAAAAGTAGATTAATGAATATACATATCCTCAATAAACATTTATAGCCAAAACAAATATTTGAAAATTAAAGTTTAATAATAAAAGATTCCATGATTGACTCAAATTCCAAATAAGAGAAAGAGCAAGCTGACTTATGTGAGTTTCATCATATAAACTTTCATTTGCTGCCAAGAAAACGTTTCATCAGCCAAAGGGAAGGTAGCCAAAGATCAAGACCCTAACATTTTAAACTAATGATACAGTTACAAGATAAACAGTGACCTCTCATTTCCCAGATAGCTTTGCAAGAAAGAAAAGCGTTCATTCTACTAATGTATATTTGTTTCTCCCCAATTCTAAGATTTTTCTTACCTTCACATATTGTTATATTGAAGGTTTGGGTGACATTATATAGTTTTCCATTACGGATGAGGGAAAATATGCAGGAGTAGTATCCCTGATCAGTAAACTCAGCATTCTTCACCATCGACAGGCTTTTATAATTTTCATCTATCTTTTCACAATTCTGTTTTCAAAAAGCAAGTTAAAATACTTTAAGTAAGCAAAGGCAGTGTTTGTGTCGCAGTCATCCATATTTTTAAATCTTAACATCTTTAGAGAGAAGGAAAAACAATGGAAACTAGTGATCCAGAGAAAATGTCCCAGGGTTCTTGGCATTGTTTCTTTTGGAGCACTGACCTCAGTGTCATGACTGTTACAGCAATGTTGGTGTTAACACACACTGGGAAACAGGAGAGAGGGACACCGTAATCATTGTCATCATTTTAATCTGTTACTAAGAGAGAAAAAGTACCTCAACATAAAAATTCCTGCTTGGGTCAAGACTTTTTTCTGCACAACACAACTTTAGTTCTTCACACTTTCAGTTCAATTCTGCGTACTTGGGACTGCCCATCCTGGAGGTGGGTAATGGAGGTGGAAGCAGAGTGACTCAGAGAACTGAGTAGTTAGCAGTGACTGACACTCCCACCCCCGAAGTCAGGGGATGGACCAGAAATTTGTTGAGAGTATTCAAATCCTTAGTATACTCAACACCCCCCTTTGTCTGTCTGTCTCTCTCCCTCTCTCTCTCTTCCTTTCCTCCCTGCTCTCTTTCCCTCTACATCTCTGTATATGTACAAAGAATCAATAATAATAAAGGCACCTTCTTCAATCCAGTCATCAGTCACCCACAAGTAGGAAAAGCAGTTCAGGAATGATGGGAAATGGGAGTTGAATGACTGATTTTGAGCAGGTGACATATTCCTTCAAATTCCAAACAAAGAGGACTACTGCTTACAGACCTCTCCCTCAAAGGTGGCCAAAGCTGGTAGCCACTGGGGCCAAACCTAGACAGTATCTTGCAAAGCACCCTGTGTGCACCTCACATCAGTGAGGTGTTTCTGTATAGGTCAAATTTTTATAAACCCAAACTGAGTTTCTCCAAGGTACACAGAATACTAGAGACTTCATTTTCATTTCCAATCAGTCCTTTACTAATTTAGCTGCTTTGAGCCCCACCCATCAGGACAGTCGCAGTCAGTCCATAGGCTGAAAATACTTAGCCCTGCAGTCAACTGTTTAGTTAAAAGCATTCGCAGAACACCCATTTTCTATATTTACATATCTGCGCATTGGGATGCCTTAAAACCCAGTACACTAAACCTCACTAATTGACATGTACTGTAAAACATGTGGACATTTGACAGGAAGAAGAGGCAAGTCAACTAAGAACTGACTCATGTTTACAAAGCATTTCAGATAAGAGGTCTCCTTGGAAAATCACAAGTAAACAGTATACAAGTAAAGCCACAAACAAAAATTCTAGGGAAATCATTGTTACTTGTTTCAACTTTCTTCTGTTCAGACCACCCAACCTCACGGCGCTTCAAAGTTTCCATGATTAAGCTGTATTAGACTGGTTTGTTTTCTACAGAATGATAGTACAGAGTTGTGTGCATGGATGTGTACATATTTACATTTTTATACACATACTATCCAGATACATGAGCTTGTGTATATATCATTTCCATAGCATTATTTGCATGCGCTTTTACAATCCAACAAGAAAAAGGACTGCCAACTAGAGAAAAGGCAAGGCAACCCATAAAAGAAGAAATAGTAAGATGCAATGAGTACATTAAAATTTTAATATATTAAGAAAATAATGCAGGGAAACATTCTAAAAGTATCATTTTCCAGTTTGGGGAAGTATGAGGAAGAGGGATTCTCATACCAGGGTTTGACACTAGCTGAGCTCCCTGGAGACTGACTTGATAAAGTGGAACTGAAGTCAAAAGCGTGATTGGCCTTTGATCCAATAACTCCGTATTTCTAGATTTGGTTGAAGGATAAATCATATAAGCATCCAAAGACTTAGGGAGATGATATTCATGTTAGCTTTTAAAAAATAGTGAAAAATCAGAAACTTTCAAATGTCATAAAACACAGGGATCAGTAAGATCAAACATGGTCTATGCAAAATGGAATCCTGCTTGGAAAAATTGTAAATTGCCAGCTATGGTGGTTCATGCCTGTAATTCAAGCTACTACAGAGGCAAAGACAGGAGGTGACAAGTTTGAAGCCAGCCTGAGCAAAATTACCAGGATCCTATCTCAAGAACGAAATAAAGCAAAAGAGCTGGAGACATGGCTCAAGTGGTAGGGCACTCGCCTAATAAGCAGCGAAGTCCTGGGTTCAGTCCTTGTACCACAAAAAAAAAAAAAAAAAACTTTAGAGATGTGGAAGAAAAATCACATGTAATTTTTAGTGGATAAAAGAAAGACACAAGCAATAAAACAAACAATTTTTTAAGTATAGATGCTTGCATAGAAAAAAAACCCCAATTTGGATTTTCACTTCTTCATCACTCGTTTTTCCATCTTCCAATTTTATAAAATGAACTCATATATTCAGAAAAATATATATGCAATCCAGTTTTAAACTTTAAGAATATGTGACAAAAGAAAATGAGCAAGCGTTAAACTAGCACTCCCTAAATTAGTTCATTGAAAGGGAAGGAAAATAAAGGAAAAGAATGAAGCCATTGTTTTTAAACATCTAACACAATGCCAGGCAGCTGCTGTGCTTCACACATCGTGCGCACTGACTCTTCAACAACCCGAGGGACACCTTGGGCAGATAGGCTAAGTCAGCCACGCAGGGTCAGCCAGCCAGCCCGTTTGCTATAAGACCAAAACAGTCCACAGCCATTAGATCCTCACCTTGGAATTTTATCATTTCGATCAAATCTTAACTGAAAATATGTAAAAAGTATTACCTTATACAATGAGGTTTTGTTGATCCATTTCTCATAGTAGCTATTTTTACAGTTTATCAGCAAAGCCTTTTTAACTGCCACTTTTTTACTTTTTACAAGTTTTTCACTAAAACAGCTGTGTTCATCTCTTTTGATGACATTTAATGTCCATTCCTTCGTTTCATTTCTATGAAATAAAGGTGTAGGGTCATTTTACAATTACTACAGATACTTTGCAACCATAACCATCTTCACTGTAGTAATCAATTCAAATTTTTTCCTAATTTCTGTACAAAGAGATTGACTCATTGATTTCTCAACCCTGCTCTGCCTCCTCTTGGTTCAGAGCAGCAAGAAATTTAACAGCTGTCATGGGCAAAAGATAAAACACACACACACACACACACACACACACACACACTACAAGCCATATATAATGGATGTCAAAGTAGCAAATATTTAAAACTTCAGTGAGCCAAAAGTTGTGGCTCATGTCTATAATCCAATACTCAGCATGGGGAGGAGGCACTCTGCTTATGAGTGCCTCTTCTGGTCATACACAGAGTGGGTTTGAGAAGTTCTAGCTTAAGGGCTGGGGAGTATAGCTCAGTCATGGAGCCTTTGCCTACCATGTACAAGACCCTGGAATTGATCCCCAGCACTGCAAGAAGAAGAAGGAGGGGGAGAAGCAGAAGAAAAAGGAAAAGAAGCTCTCATCTGAGGCCTCTTTCCAAGCCAAACTTGCTGTTCATCAGCCTAGGATCTAGTTATAAGACTTCTGCACGTGCTCTACCTTCATTTTGTCACCTGTCATCAAAAATTCTTCTGTGCCTCTTTCTTTCATAGTTGATGTCCTTAAAACTTGAGGAGATAAAGTGATTTTCACTGAAGGATTAAAGTATCAGTCCACAGAGACATTTGATTAACAGCCATGGACTTCTAAAACTTAAAGGATTACAGTTCTGACGTGAGAATTCCAGGCAGGGGTTCTGGTCATTGACAGCACCACACAAACTACAAAGGGTTACTCACTTGAGTTGGCTCACACACACACACACACACACATCTGTAGCACATAGAATACTGATTACCAATTGCATGATATTTGACAATCTCTGCATCTTCCATGCTCCCAGGTATCGAAAACAACCCACTCTACATAGAACCCCACTTGCTGTCAAAGCTGCTTCTCCCACCATCACTTTACCCTCACATTCCTCTTTATGTCCAACAGCACTGAGGGTTTGTCATCAAAGCCATTCTGAGCCTCTTGTTTTCCTGCCCCTCTCCTATCCACTACCCTGTATCTTGATGCCTCTTCGCCATCATACTTCATCATGATGGCCCCACTCTTGCTTCCTAACTCAGGCTCTGTTTTCTACCCTCCACACTAGAAAGATGGTAAATGCCCTCTGTCTCTTCTCTAAGGGATGATCATTGACAACTGGCTTTTCTCACAGCACGCTCTTTCTGCCCTGTCCAGAATTCCTTGTGCTTTTAAGCCAAGGAATTTTATCTAGTAAGCAGTGGCAAGGGGGTGGTGCTTGTTCTTCTCCTCTACCCCATTTGTGAGTACTGCCTTCATTCTTCCTTAAGTTGCTAGGAAAAGATCCAATTGTGACCAATTTCTGTAATTATCTCTCTTAAAAGGGCACATAAAATACATTAGTTTTAAAAAGGAGTTTCACCATTTCTTTTTTGACTCGTGGAAGTTTCTATGTACAAAAACAACCATGACCTCATTTTGTGCAAAACCACATGTGTGATATGGAGGTTTACTGATATCTCACTCTGCTCTCAAAGGCAAGGCTGATAATAATCAGGACTCACTCTAGAGAGAAGAGCAAGATTTCTGAAAGAAATCAGCTACATCTGACAGCACAGTGACACCACCCATCTAGTCCTGAGCTATTTTCTAGGTCAGTCTCAAATTTTATAAGAACACATACATATGTGGGTAAATGCATATGTATGTGCATTCCTATAAAGAGAACCAAGTTCAGCAATAGTGGTTGACACATTCAGTTTGTTGCTTTCATTTAATTAAGAAGCTACACTTCTTGATTGTGAGTCTCTTAGCATAATCCAGGTCTATAGCATGAGTTCCTGTGTCCCCTCTCTTACTGGCAGAGGGCTGATGGTTTGTGGCTGGCTAGCAAACACACATTTCCTCCACTAGCACTACCACCTGGCTCCCAGTGACCCATGAATACTCAACTAGGGTTTATGTACATCAATTCCAACCCCCTTCCACAGCACGAGGATGCCAGGGGGATGACCCGGGCTCTCCTCTCCAAATTAATATCTTTATGAAGTTGTAGCCATTGATTTCAACTGACCAAGGCACCCAGACCACAAGTGGCTGAACTTTAAAACTGACTTTTACTCCATCTTCACTCATTATTAACAAGGATCCCCTAAAAGGAAATCTTATGAAATGAGTCACCTTTCACTAGGATCACTAAGAAGATAACACAGGATGATTATTTAATTTTTTCCCTAATTAAGTATTTATTTCATGTTGTAGGAGCAGAAGGAAAGGGAAACAATGCATGGTTTATCCAACATTTCAGATCATTGTGTATTTGAGTCCCAGAACCAGAACAAAAATGCTGTGAAATACAATGAAACAAAAAGACATACTCACCCCATTTGGAAACGGTAGGATCCCTGGTCATTTAACTCAACTGGCCAGAACTCCAAAATGTAATTGTGCACAGTAATTCTGGGTGAGCTCCTGGGGTTTAGCTTAGCCAGTACATGTGATCCATGGCTCTTGGACCATCTGATGGTGTTTGTTTCATTCCCATGTGCAAGTGAAGATAAGCAATGTTTTAGATAAAAAGGTTCCCCTTCTATCACATTAATGTTGTGACGTGAAATACAAATTTCTTCTAAATGTTAGGGGGAGAAAAGGGGAAAAATGACAAAAGTGATTCTTTTTTTGTCTCCTAGTACATTAGGTAAAGAAGCAAGGTTACTAAAAAAAGCCCTGAGGAATCTCAGCACCCCATTGCTAGGGCTTCTTTTATTTGAGCATCAGTCGTTCCAACACCAGGACATAAGACACTTTTGGAACATAGATGAAGACAAACTTCTCATACCTTTTCCTAAACAGAAAGGTGTATGTATGAACTTAACCTCCCCCAGTCAGTAGACAGATAATTGGAGTGCCATCTTTTAAAAGAAAATATGACACATGATAACATTTTTTTTCTTTTAGCAGTACTGGGGTTTGAACCCAGGGCTTCATGTTTGCAAGAAAGGCACAATACCACTTGCCCACACTCCTAGCCCTTTTGCTTTGGTTATTGTAGGGAGAGGATCTCGTTTTTGGTCCAGGCCTGAACTGTGATCCTATTTTAAGCTTTCCACCATTGCTGGGATGACAGGCGCATGCCACCACAACCAGCTTTTTTTTGGTTGTGATGAAGACTCATAAATTATTATTTATTATTGTTTTGCCCGGGTTGGCCTGAAACTGTGATCCTCCCGATCTCAGCCTCCCAGGTAGCTAGGATTAGAGATGTGAGTCATCAGTGCCCAAAACATTACACCTTCTTGATAAGCAAACCCATGGAAGTCACAGTGTTGTCACACCTACTCCAAAATGACCACAACTGACGAGTCTTCGTGGAAAACAAAAACACTTAGAGACCTTGAAGTTCTTCATCTGCATCTTCAGAAGTCTCACTTACCTTGTGCCTAAGCAATGTACCTTCCTGTTTTGTGGACAGGTGTGTGGTGGGATAGAGGTGCTCCATGTAGCATAGGCTACTACATGGGTAATCAAGAACTGATTAATACAATATCACCCCAAATCCAGGTATCTGTCCTTTCCCCTTTTTGAGCTCTCTTTCTCTTCCTCCCTCTTTCTTTTTCAATAGCACAGATCTCATGGCCTTGGAAATGTATCTGAGATTTTTCATTAACACAGGGTAGGTCTGTGTTGCATTTGAGTTACACTTCTGCTAGTTCAAAGTTAGCATTAGCAGACCTTTCCCATACCCTATGTTCTAGTGAGAATCTTTTATTTAAATGGAACACTTCCCTAAGGACATGAACAAAATGTCTTCACTACAGCTGGGGTTTATTTCTCAAAGCAGCAGTCTACTTTAAGCTCAATGTTGTTAATCACAGAATGAAGAGAAAATATCTCAAATGGCAGAAGCATGCTTTGACACCATGCCTGTCAAATCTACCTCAAAGTGAAAAGGTTAACAAGCATCAATCAACCTTAGGTTTGGTGGTTTTTATATAATCTGTACTTTACATTTCAATACTTCAACTTAGAGGTATAATGTGAGTATGTATGAATGTTAATTTTAATTGGCACAACATTATGGTGACTCATGAACAGTTCTTTTACTTTCCTATATTAGAGACATACATGTAATCAAATGCACAAATCATATAGCACATGCTCTTCTGTGTCTAGATGCTTTTGTATATCACTATGTCTATGATAGCCATCCATGTTTCTTCATGCAGCAGTAGTGTGTTCTTTACTCATTGTTACATCATATCTAACTGTGCTGTTATTTGACAAGCTATTCCTTCAATAAATGAATAAATATTGGGGGTGTAAGTTATTAGAAAGTGTTTATTGGACATTTAGATTATTTCTAGGTTTTCAAGTTTTGACTAATCTTATAAAAGATTCTACAAACACTTGTGTTTGGATGGAAATACCCACTCATGTCTCTTTGGAGACAGCTATATCTTTTGAAGAAATCTCATGTGGACCACTTTTCCAAAATAAAACTTTCCAAAGGTGGGTGGTGGGCAGTTCAAAGTACACAGTTCCCAGGTAGTAATGACTTCCTCTCATTTTATGTTTAACATTACAGGACTAGCTTTGTTACTTAATATAATGCTTGTTAGGAATGATATTTGGATGTAGAAGTGAGTGGAGTTCAAGGCATGTGGAATTCAATGTGCTGGCATAGACAGCCCCCATTCTTCTATGAGCAGTCTAAGCACCACTGATTTGGAATTATTCAATGGTTGAGAATTGTCTTGAGTTAGGGCAAGTATAGGATGTTGACACCTAACTTCAGTTACATTATATTAAACCCATAGTAGAATACTGCCGATGTAGGCATACAGGGACATCTGTGCTCTCCAACTACATAAAAGGACAGTTGCTGGGACCCTAGCACTCCTACACGACTGGCTGTAGAGCTGTTTTGTACCTGAAACATGTTTTTGTGGCAAATATGAGCTAAGTATTTAGCGTATATCCTTGGAAATGGGACCATAGCACACATCATCCTGCTTTTATTACTCAGGAGTTTCTGACAAATCATTCCATACCAAAAAGAAAAGATCTACTTTATTCCTTAACAAGGAAAGTTAATGTGTGTGCTCCCACTTTCTCCTCCAAAGCCTGGGAAAACATTCAATCATGGAACTCTTCCTCAGAGAATGGTGCCTCTGAACCCTCAATGGGAAACAGCCAATACTACAAAATTAAATTGTGCCTGCCACCTACTTGAAGCCTACTTGAGCTCCCTAGTTTAATCAATCACTTTCTTGTGTGTTCTTTCTAGCCTTAATGCTGCTTTTACAATCTGTACTTTTAATTTACTTTTCTTTAAATTTCCAAAAGAATGAAATGATTCTTTGCCTTCCTCACAGGAAAAAGGGAGTGTATCAAATGCTCTAAAAACCAGTTTCAAATATCCCAAAGCAAATTTTCTTCTCAAATATAATTTACTTCAGGACACAAGGTCTTACATCTTGTCTGTCTACTTAAGCACACTTTTCTTTCTCAATAATATCACATGCCTCTTCTTTATTTGACTCCATTCCTAAGAATCTTTCATTTTCTACACAAGGGACACCAAATGGCTGTTGAGTTTCTCAAGTAAAATTTCAAAACACTAAATTTTAATAAATTCAGCATCTTCAGCATCCTCCTCCAAGTAAAACAATACAAGCTGGTACTCCCTCTAGACTACTAATGAAGTATGCTTGTGAAAATTATAATCACTTACCTGAGGTGCTTTTAACTATAAGAGCCAAAAATGTCAGGAATAATTCTCTGTAATGCATGCTTAGGACTCTGCTTCAAATGTTTTTTATCTTTTCTAGAAAAGAGAATGAGACAGGCTGAGCCAAAGCTTTCTACAAAAACATCCCTGTCATATGAAGGAGATTAAGAAAAAAATCTAGCACACAAACATTTAAAAAACAGCTCAGAAGATTTTAATATCTTTTATAATAGTCACCAATTCTCAGAACTTTCAGCTACACAGAATCAAGAGACTTTCAAAGCAATAAATTTAGCTGCCAGAAGAAATACTTAAAAATTCAAATATCTAGTAGAACAGAACCCGATGTGTTTTAGGCTTGGGCTATGAAATCCAGCCTGAAAGGCCAAAATTAAGGGCAATAGTATTTCTAGAAAATCTATTATTTTATTGGTAAACAATATATGGCACACCACGATATGGACGACGGTTCTACCTATGTAGGTGTATGAGTGAGTGTGTGCGGGAGTGAGTGTGTGTGAGCGAGTGTGAGTGTGTGTGAGTGTGTGTGTGCGAGTGTGAGTGAGTGAGTGTGTGTGTGAGTGAGCGAGTGTGAGTGTGTGTGTGAGTGTGTGTGAGTGAGTATGAGTGTGTGTGTGTGAGTGTCTGTATGTGTGTGAGTGTGTGTGAGTGCGTGTGTGAGAGTGTGTGTATGAGTGTGTCTGTGTGTTTGTATGTGTGTGTGAGTGTGTGTGAGTGTGTGTGTGAGTGTGTGTGAGTGAGTGTATGTGTGAGTGTGTGTGAGTGTGTGTGTGAGTGTGTGTATGAGTGTGTGATTGTGTATGTGTGTGTGAGTGTGAGTGTGTGTGTATGAGTGTGTGGGTGTGTGTGAGAGTGTGTGGGTGTGAGTGTGTGTGAGTGAGTGTGTGTGTGTGAGAGTGTGTGTGTGTGAGTGTGTGTGTGTGTGTGAGTCGCTCTAGAAAGTACCTGAAATAATCAATTTGCAAAGAGAAAAGGTTTACGTTAGCTCACAGTTTTAGAGGCTTCTATGCATCGTTGTTTGGCCCTGTTTCTTTTCGACCTGTGATGAGGCAGCACATCACAGCAGGGACATGTGGCAAAACAAAATTGCTCACCTCGTGACTAGGGAGCAAAAGAAAGAGTAAGGGTTGTGGTCCTACCACCCCTTTCAAGGGCATGCCCTCAATGATCTAAAATCCTCCTACCAGGATTTTCTCAATACCACTACTCTGGGGGTAAAGTCCTTGACATATGGGCCTTTGAGGGGCTCTTATTATTCACACCATAGCAGTGTGTGTGTTCACACCAAAATATTCATCATGATTTGTAATTCGATCTTCATTTGTGGGTTGAATTTTTTGAAAGTCACCTTCCTTCTTCTGAATGCAAGTTTCATAAGTGTAAGAACTACGTCTGCTTTGCTCATTACTGATGTCTGGCATGATGCCAGGAACACAGTGAGCACTCATCAATGTTTGTCACTAAGAAGGGGTATGTGTAAATGTGCACATGTCTGGCTCTCATGCCCACATGTGTTTATTTTAGGGAAATAGGGAGACTGTGTGGCAGGTCTCTATGCTCTAGCTCCTCTTTACACTAACCATGACCCATGTAACTGAGATCTGCCTTGAACTTGATCTTAGGACAACCTATTTTCATCCTTCTAATTATAGATTTAGAGGAGAAGGGAGGGAGTAAGGCTTTTCCTTAGTGGAGGCCACTCACCGTATCCAATATTTCATAAATGAACCCATGCCCCTTGCTTACTGAAAACCTTACTGCATCTATCCCACTGCCTACGCAATGAGCACAGTGAACACACACAGGACATAAACAGCTTGGTTTTAAGGACACACGACCCCTCAGCTGGCATTCCATTTTGATAAAGCCTTAAGGAGCTATGCAACCTTGGGGAAGTTATTTAGAAGTCACAGAGCCTGTTTGCTCTTTACCAAAACACACAGGGTAAAGACTTCCTCCAGGTACTGCTTGATGGAAGCAGTTTACATTTATGAAGGCTCTGGCCATGGCAGTTTTTCAGCCCAGAGAAATTTACTCTCACCAACTGCTGTTCCCCGCCCCCATGCCCAAAAAGGCTTATTTATTCTGAATTCTGGAAAAAGTTTTGTAAAAAAGCTGCCAAACCATTTATACCAATCCTGATGAATACCATCACCAAATATCTGGTGGAATTTCCAAGAGACAAGAATGAGTAATGTGAAAACAAAAGGGATAAGTGTGGGTGGAAAGTGCAAATGTGCATAATCAAATTACAGCAGTTCTATGGCTTGAAGCCACCTGTCTCCCACTCATTCACATCTATTGTCAACTCTCTCTATTCTTCTACCGTGAAAAGTGTTGTTTCCTTTATGTCTCTTCTCTGGAAAAGGTTGATATAGCTTTGTAAAAAGACACCAAATAGCTGTCAACTTTTCTTTTTTTAAGTTTCCATGCTCTTCCAAGAATAAAGCCATTAACGCTATTCAACATTCTTGTAAGTTACGACCTTCAAAATGAAACATGTTAAGATCCTCGTATATATAAACAATGGATTTTCACACAGCTCTCTCTGCATGGATATGTGCATTTAAATTTTTCATGCACATATCAAGTTGGTATGTGTGGAATTAAGAGATTGATATTTTATTAAATAATGAATGTTTCCAGAATAAGAGCTCTTCTGAGAAATGTTACAGATGACCTATCATAGATATGGTAAACAAGGCATACACAATAGATATAGGAGAGTACGCTTGCATTTAGAGTTTTAGGGATTTTTTTCTAAAAAAAAATTGTTTTGATTTTTTTTTGTTTTCTGTAACTATTTTTTCTTTTTTGTTTTCTTTTTCTAACTCCTTAAAAACATTTCCAGAGCAATAAGTGCCTGATATAGAACATTTACTAAATGAAAACTAAAAGAGGAAAATAATCTCAACAAACATAATATTTTGACATTTTCTCATATTTTTTCTTTATACTCTTCAATTGAATGTTTACTCAGTTTCATATCTTGCATTTTCACTTACTATTATATAATCAGCGTTTCCTTGTGTCTCACTGTTTTCTTTGTTAATACGATTTTAATTGCCAGTATTTCTTCATGTGGGTATTTGTCATTGACAAGATGAACTCTTATGAAATAAACCCATGATCGTCATCATGTGGCAAGACTGTCTTGCTCAGTTTTTTGGGGGATAACCTTTGATACCTGCCCAGCTGGATTTGAATCTTCACGCTTTCCTGAACAACCCTAAGCAAGTCACTTATTCTCTCTGTGCCTCAATTTCTTTATCATATAAGAAGATAACAGTCCTTTCTCACAGAGCTGATGGGGAGATTTCATGTGTTACTATTGCAAATGTCTGGAGAATAATAAATACCACTTAAATGTGAAGATTCCAGCTACATGCAAGGATCACAGTTTGAGGACAGCCCAGGCAAAAATAGTAATAGAACCCTATCTCAAAAACCAAGCTTAGCACACATCTATAATCCCAGCTACTTGGGAGGCCTGAATTAAGAGGATCTCACTCCAAGGTCACCCTGGGCAAAAAGCATGAGACTGTGCCTGAAAAATAAACACTAAAAAAAAAGGGGGTGCTGGGAGCATGTTCAAGTGGTAGAGTTCTTGTTTAGCAAGTACCAAGGACCTGAGTTCAATCCCCAGTACTACCATTAATTAATTAAAGCTATCATTATTATTATATTTTTTTCAATTTTCATGGCAGGAAAGTGAATGAACCAAATACATTTTAAATATGATAAGTACATACTGTCAAACCACATTGCAGAAATGTTGCAATAACTCATTTTCCTCCCTTAACAGTACAAGACAGTTTCTACCATCCAGGAAATCAATTTACATTCTCTTTTGTTAATCTAACCAGGTTGTCCAGATGGAGAAATAATAACTCACTGTTTTTTGAATCTGCATTTTTTGTTATAGATAAGGCAAAAGTAATCATGTATTATTAGTCATCCATTTCTATGTTTATGAATCATTTTTATATATTTGCCCTCTTCTCAGATGCTTAGTGTTCTCTCCATCTTATTCAGCTTACTTTTAATTCTCTTTCTATGTGTTAATCTATGGAGAGTTTTATATTAAGTCAAATGAAACATTCTTTCGCACTGTAACTTTTTTCCCCATTACTTGAAAGTGTAGAATGTTCCTTTTCTCTCAGTGCTAAAATTAATGCTTATCTATATTTTCTTCATTTTTATGGCTTAGGATTTTTTTTACATTTAACTTTTTGAAAATTCACCAACAATTAAGTTTCTTGGTTGGCATGAAGATAGAGTCTAATTAAGCTGACATTTCCAAACTAGCTAGTTATTACTTTCTATCACTAATTAAATCATTTTGCCTTTCTTTTAAAGTTTGGTTAATATCAGGTTATAATGTACTGGTCCTCCTCAAGTGCTCTATGGAAAATCTATATAGCATTCTTGCCTACATATAAATATGTGCTTCTCTCTCTCTCTCTCACTCTCACTCTCTCATTCTCTCTCTCTCTCCTTTCCCTATTTCCCCATTCACAGCAATTATCCTAGCTGACACAAGTTCACTTTGTGCTGCATGCTGGTTTATTATTTACTGAATTAATGAATGCTACAGATTTATAAAATATACACATCATCCAATCCATAGGCACATCTGCATGATCTTCTACTCTTTAAAATATGACATTTTGACAAATATGTTTTAACAAAAAACATGATACCTAGGGTGCTAGCTCTTACCCACAGCTTGAAAAAAAATAACAAAGCCTTGGCTCACCCAACTGTTTGGGATACAACCTGGGACACAGAGTCCTCAAAGTCCTCACTGACTGGGAGTATGGCTCAAGTGGTAGAGCCCCTGACTAGCAAGTATGAGGTCCTGAGTTCAAGCTCCAGTACCAACAAAAAAAAAAAGCCAAAAATCTCCCTACTGATTTAATGTGAAGCCAAGGTGAAGAGCCGCTGATCTAAGGGATTTATTTGTGCACTTACATGTGGTGTACATATCTGTAATCCCAGCTACTGTGGGAAGCAGAGATAGGTGGGTCATTGTTGGAAGCCAACCCAAACAAAATACTAGCAAGACCCCATCTCAAAATCGAGCCAGACAGGCAGTTAGAGAGACCCTATCTGAAAAACTAAGTGGAAAAGGACAGGGGGTATGGCTCAAATGGTAGAGTGCTTGTATAGCAAGCTCAAGGCTTAATTAAAACTTCAGTACTGTCAAAAATAAATAAATCAAAGAAGGAAAGAAAAGTAAATTCAAGATATTTTAAACATCCATTTAATATATTTTAAACAATAAATAGATTAAATATGCCTAATACTGTATTCGATATTTAACATACAAAATAGATACAGGTGCATGTATGTATGTGTGTGTGCACACATGTAAAGAATAATCATAAGGCCAAGAGCAGGGCTTATGCTATAAGCCCAACTACTTGGGTGGTAGAGATGGGGAGGATAGTGGTTTGAGGTCAGGTTGGGCAAAAATCACGACCCATCTCAATCAATAAGCTGGGTGTAGTGGTGCATGCCTGCTATCCGAGCCATGAGGGAGGCATAGGTAGAGGGATCACAGTCCAAGGTTGGATTGAACAAAAATGGAGACCCTACCCTTAAAAATAACTGAAAATCAAAAAGAACTAAGAGTGTGCATGGTTCCAGTGTTAGAGCTCCGGCCTAAGTGCAAGGCCCTGAGTTGAAACTCTAGTTCTGCCAAAAAAAAAAAAAGTCACAAACATATCTAAATCACCAAAGGTATGAAATATTCTTTAAACAAAATAAAATTCTGTTCCAAAAAATTATGTGACCTACTGACCTAGAGGGAAGGCCAGATACAAGGTGACTAGTCTCTCTGTCCCCAAGGCAATGCAGCATGAGGCCTATCTAGGGTGTCCAAATGGTCAGCTCCTAAGCCCCTGCTTCCACCCAGCTGTCCTTTATAGACCCCACCCTGAAGAAACCGATCTGTCACTAGAAAAGATAATTCACAGAAATGCATAGATGTTAGGCCACTTCAAAACTTTCTAATGAGGAACTCAAGTAGGTGAAATGACCACACCCAGGTGACAGCTGCTTTCATTGACTCACACTTGCCTCTTGGTAACCACTCATTAGCTCATTAGCAAAACATCAACACATGGGAAGCACCACGTCTGGCACATTAGCACCTCTAAGATAAACTGCCTTCACAGAATTTCTTTTCTTTTGTGCTGCATGTGCTAAGTGAGCACTCTACTACTGAGCTACACTCCCCACCCAGTCCACCAGTGCTGCTGTGCATGCATTTAATTCTTTCTCTACAATGTCTACTGCACAGGAGCTTTACTCTGCCTGCAAGGTGATAAAACAGTCAATGCAGAAAAGAAAATTATCTCAGACACACATGCACTTCTGCTCTAAGATGAAGAATCTCTGGGAATTTGATTTCCCAGGATAATCACTACCACCTCACAGTCCTTATCACATGAAGTATCTGTTAGTATTTGCTTCGTGCTAATATTCCCCAATCCACCTCTGCATGTGCGAGTCCTGCCATATGGGCCATGCTCCCCACTTTTCCCTGCCTCTAAGGAGCCAACAGTCCTTACAGAGTGCAGCTCAGTTTTTCCTTCTCAAGGAACCTGGCTAAGTACAACTGCCCACTCTGGGCATGCACCCACAAGACATCTCCATCACTCCCTGGTGAGGTCCCTATGGGCTGGCACCCTGCTTTTCCATTCCGTGTGGGCTGATCTCAGCCCTGTATGTGCATTTGTGCTGGGAGGGTGAGGGACACTATTCCCAGACTCTGCATAAACCAATTCTCCACATTTACCCCTGGGTTTTGTCCAACGCATGCAAATTTTGGTAATGTTCCCCACATCCTAGCCCTGCGTATGGCACAGAATGGGTTGTTTGCAGAGGTCCTGAAAATGGAGCAAAGGAAGTTAGTGAAATTAACACAATCATCTCTGATCCCCACCTCTGACTGGGGTTGCCCGTTGGCAACCCACTCTGATTACCACTGATGCAACCTGAGGTGTTCAAATGTCTGCTGTACCTCAGATTAAAAGTTTTGGAATCAGGAGGATTTAGGTGTGAGTCTGGGAACTGTAACTGCAAGCCCTTGTATGAATTACTGAACCTCTCTGTGCTTAGGTCCCCTTCCCTTTTATTAAGCCTACTTATTTAATGGTTATTTACATTTGGCCCCTAGGAGGATTAAATGAATATAACACATCTAAAACCTCTGCACAGAGTCAAGCACACCGCAAGCACTTAATAAATGACAATCGATTGGAGGTATGGCTCAAGTGGTAGAGCATCTGCTTTGTTAGGGTAAAACCCTGAGTTCAAACCCCAATCCTACCAAAAAAAAAAAAATACAAATAAATGACAATCGATGTTAACACTTATTTTAGCTGTTCTTAACTCTCTGGAAAAGAACTGCAGTTTTAAAAACTACACTATCAGAGAGAGTTGATAATGTTTATATCATAGATTACTCAAGTGAGTGTCCTCTCCCTCCTTTTTGAATTTGAACTTGTTTTCAGAATCCCTGCCACAGAGACTGGGTCTCCCCTTGCCCCACCCTGGCTGCATAGGACAGTGGGGACCGAAGGGGCCCATGTCTGGATGGCTTGTGTCCTTACCTTCAGAGGGGCTTCCCCGAGATTGGGGCGGGGGCGGTTGTCTCTTCTCACTCAAGGTCCCAACTGTTAGGCCGAATTCAGAAAACAGGTGACAAATGTAGATCTGCCCAGTCGCACAACTGTGAACAAGACAGGAAGGAGAGGCGTGGCCACAAGGCGGGCGGGGCAGGAGGGTGATGAAGGAGATCGGGCCACGCGCGACACCTAGAAGAAAAGGGGCGCTGGAAAGGCGAGGCACAAAAAAAAGGGGTCTGGCAGCCCCTGGCTAGTGCTGGCTGCAGGTGGGGCGCTGCTCAGGTGGAAAGGTGGCCAGGTGGCGAGCCCTGCGATCTCGGGGCGCTTCAGGTCTAGGGCTCCCCGAGTGCTCTCAGTCTTGGTGTGCTCTCGCCCAAGAACACCCCGGGTTCGGGGCCCCGCTTCGGGGATGCGCCACGCTTCTCGCAGCCAGAGGGGTATCGATTCCTCCACCCAGGCCCCCACCCAGGCGCCCGCCCGACCCGCGAGTTTCCGGAGCTGCGCATCGCGTTGCGGGGGCGCGGGGCGCCAGGCGGGGCGGAGGGCGACCGCCTCCACGTCCTCGGAGCGTCCTCGCGCGGGCCTCCGGGACCCCGGGCGGTGGTCGTGCCACCCGCAGGGTCTGCAGGTGACACGGAGGTGCTGCCTGCAAGCACCCTCCGGCCTGGGGCTGTGGAATCAGAGGCACCAGGTCCGGGGTCCCCCAGGGCAGCGCCTGATCTAAGGGGAAGGGCGGGGGAAGGGCTGGAAGGAGGAAGGACGCCGCGCACGTCCCCTCCAAAGACAGGCAGGGGAGGGAGGTCGGCCCTGGGCCCTCTGCCTTGCTTGAGGGATGGACATAATAGTGAGAGAGGTGCAGGGTTATTGAATTGAGATTTTAAATTGTTCAAAAGAAAACGAGGTCACGGAAAATAAGTGTTAGATCCGTTTTCATGAAATACGGTGGTGGTAGAACCGTTTCCATACAAAAATGAGAGATGCCCATGGCTGACAGGGAAAGGGTCTGCTGAGCCAGTTGTTCTTTTTACCCAATCAAAATAATTCACTATATAATAAATAGAAAACAAATATAATCATCACAGTAAATGCAAACAAAATCAACACCCTTTTTAGATTAATAATATCCACAAAACCAAGAGTACAAAGGAATGTTTCCTTCTTAACCTGACAGGGAGCATTTAAAAGGAACCTGCTATAACTTCATAATTAATGGTGAGACATTTTGCTTTCCCCTAAAATTGGAAACAAGAGAAGGGTGTCAGCTTTCATCAAAGACAAAGACTTTATGATAAGTGAAGGAATGAAAATTCCTTCTGCTTTGGCAGAAGACATGTTTGTAGGCTGATCAACCTTTGAAATCTACCTGGGGGAAAAAAAACCCAATAATTTGTGTGATACAAGGTCATTAAAAAAGTATCAATTGTAATTACATATATCAGTGATGGAAATTTTAAAAATAAAATTTATTAAGTATGACACTTGTGATAGTATTAAAAATCAAAAACCAAGCCACAAATCCTGTGGAAGATAAATATCTACTATGAAAACTGCAAAATACTGCTGAGAGAAATGAATGATCCATGTAAACAGAAGAATATACTGTGTTCATGGATTAAAAGTCTCAGTTTTGTTAAGACATCTATTGGCAGTAAAGAATCTATTTTAGACTCTTTGTTTTATAAAGTTTACATATTTAATGCAGTCCAGATCCCAAAGGGAATTTCAAAGAAATTAAAAGCTGACTCTAAAATATATATATATGAAAATGCAAATTATCTAGAATTGTCAGAACATTCTTGAAAAAGATCAAGTTGGCAGACTTATACTGACTTGAAAGTTTACACTAAGGCAACAGTAATCATGACAGTGTGATATTTATGGCAGCATATAAAAGGATGACTAACAGATCCATACACACATACAGTCAATGAATTTTTAACCCAGTTACCATGTCAGTTTAATGAGGAGATAGGTCTATAAGCGTGGCCGTAACAGCTAGGCATTTCTATGGGAAGATAAAGAACTCTGACCCTTATCTCATCCTATATACAAATATTAATTCACAATGGACCATAAACTCAAAAGCTGAAACCATAAACATTTCATAAAAATTTCATAGGAGACTACATGCTCTTGGGAAGGTAAAAGAAATTCTTAGAATGAAAATCACTATGCAAGACAACTGATAAGCTGAATGTCATCAAACTTCAAAATGTCTGCTCATCTGTGCATCACTTAAAAATTCACAGGCCTGAAAAAATTCTCTCCTTTCATCTATCTGTCAAAAAACTTGTATCCACAATATGTAAACAATTTCTACACATCAACAACATAAAAAGAAACAACACAGTTTAAGTAGGGCTCTCATTCACTGTGACAGAATACCTGAGAAAGAAATCAACTTAGAAGGAAAGACTTATTTTGACTCACAATTGCAGTTCATATTCTCTTAGACCCATCTCTGAGGGCCTGTGGTGAAGAAGAACATCATAGCAGTGAGAATGGTGGAACAGAGTGTCTCATCTCATAAGAAAGAGGAAGGGGTTAGGGACAAAATATACCCTTCAAAGTCTTGCCCCCATTGTGCTACTTCCTCCAATGTGAATCCACCTTCATGAGTCCATTTGGCTATGAACTCACTAATGACCAGATAAGCAACCTCATTATCCAGTCACCTCATAATAGCGCCACCAGCTGGGGACCAAGCTTTCAACACATGAGTCTTTCTGAAGAATACTTCATATCCAAACCACAAGAGCGAATGATTTGACCTTAACTGAAAAAGATGTACTCGTAGTCAATGATGGTGAAAAAAAACACCATCATTAATTGACAGAGAATTGCAAATTAAAACAACAATGAGAGTCATTTAACACTCAGTAAAATGATTCAACTATAAAGAAAATTGATAGTACCAGCCACTGGTACTGCACTGGAGCAATGCACCTCCATCCATAACTGATGGGATGTAAAATAACATGGGTTTCCCACAAACTTAAACATACACCTACCTTATGACTGCTCCTAGTATTGAGAAAGAAGAAACAAATCATATCCACAAGAATTTATGGGAACCATATTCATATGTCCGTTAACAGGAAAACAAACTATTAAATAGTCGTACAATGGAATACTGCTTAGTAATACAGAAAAAAACATGGGTGAATCAGCAAAACATTATACTGTATAGAAGTAGCCAGACACAATAGCAGGTGAGTTTATTGGTATGAATATCAAGATCTGGCAATATCTGTCTTGGAGATAGAATTTAGAACATTGTTTGCCTCTGGAGGAGGAAACGGATTGACAGAATTGTCACAGTAGAACTGACTGGAATTATTGAAATATTTCTGTCTTGTTTGGAGTGATAACTACATGGGTGTGCTCAACTGTCAAAACTCATTGAACTAATCACACAGGAGATGCATTTTATTGTGTGTAATCTTGACTCAATTAAAAATAATTCTTTGTGCTTTTATAATTCACAGATGTTTTCACCATGATTGTATGGAAGACACCCAACAAGTTTTGGTTGAATTCATCTTATTCACAACATCTTGTGTGAATCACTTGCTCTCATCACATAGAAGGGAGAAACTAAGTGAAGTTAGAGTGGTGCTGGCGTGGGAATTCAAATGTAGGGCAGGTCCCTGACCTTGCTATGTATGTTCAGCTTGAAATTATGAGCCATGGGAGTTGAGAAAACCCCACAGGTCATAGCGATCCTCCCATTTTCCAGATGTAGAAACTGAGTCACAGAGAGCTAGTTGACAGGAAGTGGTGTATAAGTTTAGGAAAAGGCATGGTGGAAAAAAGCACTCAGCAATGTCAGTTCCCCCAAAGCCAGCCCCATCTGGGGTCTGCAGTGCCTCTTCTTCCTCCAAGTTTCCAGGAGGGTCCCAGCAACATGATTGTAAGTTCAGAGTGCTCTGAACTCAGCTTAGGAGCCCCTAAGCTTTCTCTCCTACCACTACCAAAGAGGCACTTGCACACATTCTGTAAATGTTTGTTGATTACTTGCAAAGAAGTTTGTAATGTAAGTTAAGCCATATTTAAAAATCAGGAAGAGCCCAGCGATGGTAGTTTACCCCTATAATCCAAACTACTCAGAAGGCAGAGATCAGGAGGATCACAGTTTGAGACCAGTCTGGGTAAATAGTTTGCAAGACCCTATCTTGAAATTACCCAACATAAAAACAGGACTGGCTGAGTGGTTCAAGTGGTAGAGCACCTGCTTAGCAAGCATGAGACCCTGAGATCAAACTCCAGTACCACCAAAAAATAAATGCATACATAAATATATAAATACATAAATAAATAAGGAATGTGAAGCAAATCAAAAACAAAGATACCGTTGAGCCAAGAAAAGGATCATCACTAATTAATTCCATGTTATACACCCTCTATACCTGCTGTAGAAATGTCTGAAATTTAGCTCTATGCTTTCAAATGGCTAGTTGTAAAGAAGCAAGTAAAATCAGTTTCAAAATTCCCTATGTCAATTAATTAAAAAAACACAATTTAGGTGGGTGGGAAAACAGGGATAAAGGCACATCCATTCCCAATAATGAGACTAGAGAGAGAATTTATTTTTTAGAGGTCTTCATTAAGAAAAGTCACAGAATATAATCAACATTACAAGAAGCATAATTACAACTGCCTAATAATTATAATTGTTGCCAGCACGACTACTACTACTTATTAATATTATTGGTATAGAAATCAAACTTTATCACTCTTAGTTTAATGGTTAAAAGGTAGATTATCAATGAGAAATAAAGAGAAAGAAAACAAGAAAGAGAAAAAGGCAAAAGCATAGTGAAACAATGCCGTACTACACTGGAATAAAATAGGCAAAGGCAGGCAGAAAAGGGGAAGTAAAGCACAACCTTTCTGGATATTTGTACTCACTCAGAACCAGAAAAAATGGAAGTGATGTTACTTCTTCAGGTTCCATGGAATCTAAGGCCAGACTACCCTTAACATTCTCCCTCTTCTCACCTCCA